GAAATCTTCTACACTCAGCAGAATAAAGAATAAGATTCACATTTTCAACACAAATGTGAAGTTATAAACTTGATCAGCGTGTCACGAAAAGGATTTCCAACAGGCAACTGCAGACTTTTATCAACAGCTGCCTTCGCTGGCTGGCTGGCTCCATACTGAAGATCAAATGGCCGGTCAGCTGGCCAGGAAGAATTAGCAACAAGAAACTCTTCAGTGGAACAAACCAATGGAGTAAGAGCGGATTGCTCAACAAATATGTAGGAGAAAATGGAGATGGATGGATCGGGCATACTTTGAGGAGGCTTTCCAATGAAATCACGTGCCAGGTCATTGCTCAACTGTAATTCTAATGGGAAGGGACGAGTCGGTGGTGGGTTCGAGGGTGACATGGAGGAGATCGTAGAAGGAGGAGGAGTTTCGAGATTATGGGCAATTGTGGGGTCAGCCAGCTGAAGAGGATGGCAGAAAACAGAACAAAGTGGAGATGTGTTGTTGAAGCCCTATGTTCCACTCAGATCACAAGGGAATAATAACAGTAATACTTTACGAATAACCAGACAAATGTTATCTTATTTGGAAGTTTTGAACAAACTGATTTAAGAACTTCTTTTTTAATACAATTATCCTGTTTTCTCTGATAAACTTGAACAAGGCAAGAAGATTAAACCGAGCACGATAACTTGAATGAAGTTGTTCAATGATGAACAGCACGTAAGGGTTATTAAATAATCTAGCTGAACGGAAGTCGAAAACTGGTTTGGTTAAGAATACAGATAAAGACAAAATTAAGGGTAGAAAATCACCTTAGAAAAACAGAATATTACTAAAATAACAAAATTAAAACAACGTAAAGTATATTTCCCTTGGTAGAGTGAGATTAATAATGATTCCCTTTCGGATGTACAAATAATGACAACAGCTTTATTCTGGACAAAATGTTTACACAATACACAGAATTCCCAGTGAAATTTATTACATATTATTGTCTAATCGTCAAGAATCTTCAAGTATAATAAATAATCCACACAGCACATCACGTGACTCAGTGTCATTCGATCTGCAGCATAAACCAACAATCCCTTTTGATATTTTTCCTTCGTCTCCTGAATAAAAGCGCTCAAAAGCAGCAGAAGTTTGAAAGACATTGAATTAGTTGTGTTCTCTGAGCTGGTTGATTTAATTGCGAAGCTTTCGTCATCCTTCTAGACAACTTCTTCAGCGCAGGTTTCAGTATAAAATGAACTCGTTTAAATTCCCCATGAATGATGTAATTGCATCTCCTGGCAATCACTGTCGTGACTGGTTGTTGATTTACGTCTTTATTGATCATTTTTATTCGTTTTGTCATGTGATTTACTTTTTATCGGCTGATAAATTTAGTCTATAGTAATTTACATGGTAATCGCTGGCTAATTCACTTTGTAACAACAGAAGACAAGAGTCAGGCAACAGATCGTTAATTAAGGAAAATCAACACATACTTAAAGATTTTAATGTACATTATTGTAGATTATTGTTAGTAGAAAATGCAGTCTTTTGACTGGTTGTTTCTCACAGAAAGTTAACCTTGCATCTCTTTGTGGCTGTGTCAGATCATCTGTATGGTAACTGTATCCGCCTACGCAAAGCCTTTGTTCTCATTTTCTCACCACCAATATTGGGGACATAAACATTGACGTCAATTACTGTCTACCAAATTTGGCTAGCAGGCAGCTCTCACCACAACTTGAGTACCAGGCGTCTAGGAATTCTCTGACTGCAGTTTTGGTGTTTCCTCTATTTAAAATTTCTACATTATCTCAATCAAATTGGTGTCCATAATAGCCCACGTGCATATATACGAAAGATTACACATCATGTCTTTTTACAGTTAATTTGTGTTCTTGGGTTCTGCTTCGAAGGGAGAGGACTCCCACTTTGACCTATGCAGTGTTTATCGCTCAGTTTACGCAATTTATTTTGTAAATGGTATTAATTTTATCTTCTTTCACTGTTGAATCTTTTGCTTTGCACAATATCAAATGAAGTGGTTGTGTTGGCTGGCTTGTGTGCCATATCTATTTCAAACGGTCTTAATATATATTTTAGCTGTTATATGAGAGATATTCTTTATATATGGTAGGATGAATTTGCCTCTGATTTTTGATGATGACTTGTTGTTGGTGTTATGACTCGAGTTTAAACACTTTTTGATGACAATTAAGACAATTAAAAAATATACTTGAGTACATTTTACCAGCTAAGGATATCGTATACTGGTAATCGCTTCAGCAATAAGTAGCAAAGATGGAGTTGTTTGCAGCCTTTAATGAACCGATTTTATAGCTACTATTTAACAAGATACAAGCAATTGCACTACTAAGGATTCTTTTTGCAGTTTGCAAACACATACATAGTGTTTAAAACAAGCAATAAAGGTTAATAAAGCAGGATTTAATGAATTCATCAAATTTCGGTAGAACTCGTCAGCTGAATACTCTACATACTGGGATATATATACTGTTGAAATTACATTAGGAGATTTAAGACTAATAGATAAACAAACTACATTGAATTAGTCATACAGAAAAACAGGTGCGAATGTTTTCCAGGTCATGTTCAAATAGATAAGGGGAGAGAGAGCATGGGAGATCAAAATTAAGATAAATTGCATTACGCTTCAATTACATCACTTAGATAAACAATTAGTCATTAGAGAATATAACAAGAATTGCAAACAGAGTAATATCAATAGTAATAGTTATAATAACAATAATAATAATAGTGTTGAAGTGAGTTAAGATAATGCTACTGATAAAGGATATTTTTAAATGAATCAATAATAATAAGAGGTAGAATAGTAAGTAAAACGTAATACCATGGTAGATTCAGAGTCACGACCATCTCCTTTTGTAAACAGAGACCTGGTTTATAAACTTGAATTGTACAAGCCTCTGCAATTGCAAGCATCTTCTTGTTTCTTTGTCTACTGACAATAGTGAATGACTTCACAGCGTCCATAGTCCAAAAGATGTTTTGTTATTGAGGATTTTGGCAATTTGCACTCAGCTGTTTTCAACATACATAGTGTAATGCTAACAAGCATACTTTTGATTGGACATCAGTCAGTAACTAGTGTAATGTGTGTGTCTAGTCGTATATTTACTACCGACTGAAGTCTATCAGTCAAGTTTGAAATGTGAGCACCATTCTAGGTGGCTCGCCATCACGGCGCATTTTGAATTGGTGACATGGTGGCCACATTGCAAACTTGACTGATAGAATTCAGTCTGCACCAAAGAAAGTATTAGACAGACTAACACACATTACACTAGTTACTGACTAATGTCCAATCAAAAATATCTAATACAATCCTACAGGAGGTCAACCACGAGCCCAAATAGCTCAGTAGTAACGTCTCTGACTGCAGCACCAGACAGTGACGTGGGATCAAATCTCAGAAGGGATATGAGTTCCTTCACGGTTGCAGATACGCCTTGCTGACCAGTTGAGTGCCAACTAGCACAAAACCTAGGCCGAGCAAGGCTTCCTGTGACCGACTGCCTCCAAACATCTAATACTTACAAGTATACATGTGTACCATGGATGTGCAATTCCAATTCGACAACACTCTTTACCGCCAAATAGATGGTGTAGCTATGGGCAGTCCACTCAGCCCTGTTTTAGCAGATATATTCATGTCCAACCTTGAAAGAACAAAGTTGAAGCATGCAATCGACGAAACAACTTCCTACTGTCGATATGTTGATGACACATTTATAGTGTGCAAAAATGAAAGTCATGCTTCACACTTACTCAGATTATTCAATGATGCACACACCAATATTGAGTTCACTATGGAACATGAAAGTGACGGGAAGTTCCACTTCCTCGACATCGCCATGGAACGCCTAGAAGACGGTAGTCTTCAGAAGTCAATTTATCGAAAGCCCACATGGAGAGGACAATACTTACATTTTAATAGCTTTTGTCCAAATAGCTTTAAACGAGGACTAGTCAAGACTCTGTACTATAGAGCGAGGAGAATATGCTCTATAGAGAAATTAGAGGAAGAATTTGAGTTTCTTGAAAAGACATTGAAGAGCAATGGGTACCCTCAAAGGTTCATCAACAAGTATGGAAGATCTGAAGTCACAAATGTAAAACAAATCACAGTAAGAAAAAAGCCAATCTACTTTCAGCTTGATTATAAAGGTGATGATCAACAGAAGGCTGAGTACATCACTAGCCATAGCCTATCCTGCAGCTAAGCTCGTTCCCGTCTATCGAACAACTTGCTCTTTGATGCAATCAAAAGTCGATAGATATCCTTCTCATGTTAACTCCAACTGTATATACAAATTTACATGTATCTGCGGGAGCAGTTACATTGGAAGAACAGAAAGAAGAGCATATCTACGATTTTCTGAACATGTACCAAAAAGCTTACGTCTAAGGGAAACAAATGCTTTAAACAGTGCCATCGCCAGACATCTCCTTGACACGGGTCATGAGGTGGACGTCGAAAAGTCGTTCAAAATTATCAATAGGCAAAAGAGCTCAATTCTCCTTAAGTTTGCTGAAGCCATTTCCATCAAGCGCCTGAAACCTGATTTATGCGTCCAGAAAGAAGCGGTTATCAGTCTTTCTTTGCCCTGGTAACTGGATATTTTCATCTCTCTTTCATCTGAATGCGTAATGCTGAAAAGTTTCCATTGTGTATGATTATTATTGTTCGGAATAGTGTTTAATATTGCATATATATATGTATATATTATTAGTGTATGTGTATACTGATCGATTGATTTCTGTTTAAAATGAACTCTGTGTAAGTATGTTAAACTGTTATTGTAGATACATTTAATAATGTTTTCGCCCTGTAAGCAGCTGACGAGAAGGCAACGAAATAAAAGATGGTACCATTTTATTCTGCTAAAACTGTAGTTCTTGCTTTGTTCAAATAAAGCAATATTATTATAACTTCATAGATTTCATTGTTTTGTTGTTGTTTTGCTTTTTAGAAATTAAATATTGTCAAGTAAAAGGGAATAGAAAATCAACGTTAAGGAGGGGACAAATCAAAACATTCAGCAAGCATATCTGACTTCTTTTTCTGTATTTCTTTCCACCGACCAAATAGATCTTTCATATATGTATACATATTTATGTGTATTGCACACACTTTCTTATTTCCTGCTTCTTTCTGCCTTCTCCTTATAAAAAAATGAGCAATACTATTCAAGGTAATTATGGTATATTATTATGTATCCATAATAATAGTTATTAACTTAATAATAATAATATTAATGATAGTAACTTCATAATTACTTAACTTGTGTATAGTAATTTATTTTATAACTCAGTGAGATTCAACAAATATTTACAAGTATAATATGATAATTTGCGTATACTTTTACCTACCAACTGATGACTTTATCCACCTATCAGTTTATTTTTCATCTTTAATCCTTCAATTGTAACACCTTCAAGCTACCTACCTACCTACCTATGCTCCCTTTTCCTGCCAACTCCAGCTTACTAGATCGTACTCACACTGTTTATACTCTAAAGCAAAAATGTCCTATGTATTATACAAGTAATCAAGTGTGTATTGAATGTGAGTACTGTTTTATATTGTATACGAAAATTTGAATAAAAAACTCGAACCAATTTGAAATATAATAAACAAAAATATCAAAAATGGATTCGGATTTGCTTTCTGATTTGTTTCCCTCCCTTGTCATTTCATGATTTCTTATGATTTATTTGTAGATAGGAAAATAGTAAAGGTTGGATAATCAGTAAACAAGTGACATTGTTTTCAACAGTTGACAGGGAAATACAAATGTTTGTATATATCCTCGCAATCACAGTGAGTTGATGCGAAAAAAGAGCCATACAAAAATATTTTAAGACTGATCATGAAATGACTTCAATTATAGAACTAATGAAAACCAAAGAGTACTTGATGGCCGTTTCGTCCCAGGTTGGGACTCTTCAGTAGTAGGCAAACATGACCCCCCAGGGATCGAACCCAGGACCTTCAGGTAATGAAGTCAGCCCGTCAATGGATTCCATCTCACTGGTTGAATGATATATATGCTCACCCTGGTGTCATCATGGGTGCATACTACTGAAGAGTCCCGAACAAGGACTAAAAAGATCTCCAGTACTCCGTGGTTATCTAATTGCAGTTAGTTTGTGATTAAACTTGAAATCAACCAGATCCTTTCAAACCAACATTTTAGTTAAGAAATTGTACTATTTCAAGTCATTTTTCATACAAACTTCAGTATGAGACTCACAACCAGCAACTGCTTAATTACTGACAGATGAATATTTTCATACAAACTAAAGTGGACAGTCATTTCAGTATAGTTTCAGATTCAATGAAGGATTGGAAAACCAAAATAGACCCTCAATAGTTTGAAATTAGTGTGAAAATGTGCTGTACTCAGTATAAGGAGCAAGCTTCTGATTTTCAACACTAATATCAAGTCAGTTTTTCTATATGCTTCGGAGACTTGGCGCGACACCAAAAGAATTTCCAACAGCATGTGTCAAATATCCAGATCGCAAATATCCTGAACCTATAACTGGTTTCAGAAGATTAAGTCTAATACACAGAATAATATGCACTGTAACCGACGCAGAACAACAAAAAACGGTTGGGTAATACGACTGTTTACCCTTCAACCGACAACGAAACAGATTTACAATTGTTACTCAGTGCCAAAGTCTGTAAATAAACGTTAATATAATGTACATCAATACTTCTGATCATATTTCTGCAATCTACCGTCAACCTGTACACGATTGAGCAATGATAGTCTTCTTGTCTCCCGCCAATATGGAGACCATTTCGAACAAACAAACTATTCAATGTTCACCAGCATTGACAGCATCCTTCAGACATTGTTAACAGCTGCCTTCACTCCATCCTGGAAATCAGATAACGAGAAAGGAGTTCTGGAAACGAACCAAATGAGAACTGATCACTTGAAACTATATACTGATGTAAATGGGGGTTGATTGTACAAAACTCTGAGGAGACTGTTGGGTGAAATGAAGCGCTACGCTGTCGAGTGGAACACGAATGAACAATGAAGATGTGAGCATCCGAGTGTAACATGGAGTAGATCGTGTGAGAAGGAGAGAGTCGTAAAACCAGCTAAAAATAATTGCAGAGAACACGGGGAAATAAAGATGTACTGTTGAAGGCCTATGTTCCATTCGGAAACAAAGGGAACAATAGTACATAATAATAATAATAATGACCTTATGGGTATAAATCCCCATAACCATCAGGTTCTGAGGTAACAATGGCGCACCCAGGAATTGTTTTGAAGTACAACAACACTGTTTATTGAACTGCATTTTGTTTACTTTTATAGATAACGTTTTGCACACTAAACTACGTTAATAACTGCTCATTGAAATCATGTGTGAGACTAATGCCAGTTATGATTTAGTACTATAGTTTTCATTGAGCTGAACCTCTGCTGAATACCACGGTGGATAAAAAGAAGGATACAAAAGTATCTAGTAAATAACTTAAATATTCTTTTCTTTGTCTAAGTCAAAACTACCAGGTGATAGAAGTATACATATATATATATATATATATATGCTAAAGCAGAGAATTACTAGTTTTTCATAACGGTTCGGAATCAAATCTGGAGTTATTTACACTATAACAGTTCCTAAACAGTTTCCATTTAAGCAGACGGAGAATAATAGTACAGTTGAGTTCATCCTACCGGTACTTCAGTGAACTTGGCTAATATTACCAAGCTGAGAAAGAAAAAAATGATTGACTCAAAAGTCAATGATTTATTGCTCCAGGGAAGTGGTAGTATTTATAGAAATTACAGTTCATTATATGGTTATTTTACTTGACCAACAAATTACTAGTTTAGGAATACAAAAAATTATGTTCTGACGGTTTAGGATGCACCAATAAAAATCCATTGACGTGAACCTTAATCTACGTTAGGGTCAAATGTCTGATTTCCAGATTACGTAAACAAAGGTACACAATATACCACCTCCTGTTCACAGCTTTTCATGTTTACTAACAACAAATGTGTCTACTGGCCCACTGCATATTCTAAAACATTGTTGCTTTTAATTACATAAAAAAAGTTAGTTGAGTAATACAATTTTATAGAGATGTGTATCCTTCTTATTTCTTTAGAGATTAAACTTCTTATGTCTCTAAATGATTTAATTACTCAAAAGCGGTTTCTAAAGATAAAAACTTATATAATACGCTTGGTCACAAGCTGAAATCATTTAGAGAACCAATGGAAAACCAGGTACCACTGGCCAGATGCTTTCTACTCAAACCTGTAATCGACCCTATCCCTGCAAACCATTACTTGGAAATGTATATGAAGATTACTAGCGACTAGTTCTATGCAGAAAGTTACCTGAAGTTCTAATAAGAAGTTGTCACCACTGAATTCCACTGAGTCAGGAAGGAGAACAGTTACTCACCGGTAACACTGGCTAGTGGTTGCACCATATATATATATATATATATCGAATTGGTAGAAGTGTGGGACTCATCGGTTGTTGGATAGGGTCCCGTCGGCTGATTGGTTTACAAGCTCGCCCTGTAAGTGGAGGTTACTGTGCTCAAGCCCTTATAGGTACGTACAGACGAAAAGCCCCAGACAAGGGCGAAACCAGTGACCAATGAAATCTCTGCAAATTAACACTTGGAAGGTAAGTTACATAGCAGTCAAAGACACAATGGAAATAAGGGTCCTTCAGTTCAAAACTCTTACTTTCGTTGTGTCGTTGACCATTAGGTAATTTTTTAGCCTTTCTCTTCAAGCACAACCATTATATTGAAAAGTCTACCGTTACAGCCAACTAGATTGCTTGCTATTTGCCCAAAGAGTAAATACAGATAATTCGAAATCACTCTCAGTGGACGTATATCGTAAATTCTAATAAAAATCAAAATCAAACGACACACCTACATACCAGTGGTAAACATTATTGTGGAGTAATAATTTTATACAAAACTTAATATTTCTTTTTACATCTTTCAGTAATGAATACCATTGATAATTGCGCATAAGTATGCAGCCACAAAAAGGCTACATTTCGGAATTTCTGTTAAAAGACAAGAAAAAAAATGATAAGCACATAATACTTAGTATTGTCAGTACAGAGAAATACTGAAAACAATATAAAGGTGTAATTACTTTTTAATTGTAGTGCAGTCATTAGTTGTTTTTAATGTAAGTATACATATGGGGACAAAATCCTTTTCTAAAGCTTTTAGACCAATCAACGTATTTTCTTTCTATTGTTTTGATCTTTTCAGAATTAAAATTTAGCAGAAAATTATCTTGATAGAAAATTCCACCGAAGATTATTTTCTTGAACTATACAACTGGGAATTCATTTAGTAAACTGAATAAATCACAGTTATTAACATAAATGACCACAGGGACTCACTTCACTTAAGTGAATAATTACTATACAATTTCATATGATAACCTCACACTATGTATATAGTGTTCAGCAAACATAGAAGACGATGAGTGAGTTTAGTATGCACTTCAACAATGAAGCCATAGGTGTGCTGGAATGAGAAAAATGAGTATACACAGCATCCAGTGTGCGTCGGTGGCACAGCGGTAGAATGCTCGCCAGCCATGCAGGTAGGTGGTCCGGGGCTCGATCCCCGGCAGACACACCCCTTTACCTCGCTAAGCCAGTAATAAAATCTGGTAAAGAGGAAAGGTTGGGCATGAGGCTAGCAATGCCATCCCGTAAAAGTAAACACCACTACTACCGAAACTTCAAGTCTCTAGCTTGAAGCTCTATGTTCCACTGGGAACTTGAAGGAATGAAAACAAAAAACAAAAAAACAGCATCCAGTAAGCATTATAGAGGAGAAGAAAGATTCCCTTGTAGATCTATTCCGGAATACCTGATCGAGTCTGGACGCCGAGAGAATTCGCAAACCTATCTTCAGAGGTCATTAGATCATTTAGCTTCAACAGAAAGTTCATTCGATGTGATATTTAAAGTGGGAAAAAGCCAATGAAACTAATTTTGTTTACAACTTTCTACAATAAAAGCCCTTCCAATTCATAAAATCAAATCACGAAATTTACATACAAAGACATTTTCCAGTGTCTTTTACTAGTATGATGTTTTTAGTTTGTTGTGTAATGGCACTCTAATTTTTCTAGCTTCATCTTTTTCTGGACCTAATTGTCAAACACAAAAATGAATTTCTCTTCTACCGTCATAAGATGAAGCTATAAAAAGTGCATATCTCCTACTTTCCATAAACGTATATGTCGTCCAGACAAGCAATCCTGTTAACTTGAACATAAGACTCTTAGTTATCCGTCAGACCTCCCTTCAACTACCACACGGAATCGTATTCTTCTTCATGAAGACGGCAGACTTCCATTCTTCCATAACACTTTGATAACTATGTTGTATAATTATGCTGAGCTTTGCAGTGATCCCATGGGTTATTATGTACACCAGTGTTGATTATAATTCGCACCAAATCTGAATGGCTTATTTTTAGCATGCAGTTCACACTTCTTTTAGCAGAATAATTCATCTGAAAATTCCTCCATGAACAATCTTTTTACACGTGTTGATACTTATTTGAATGTTTCAACTAATTCTGTAATTATTATCCTTTCCCCCTGATATGAATATCATTGTTCTAATCTTTGCTTATCTTCTTTTGACTTAATCCTTACTATTTATCGTTGTTTTTGGTTGATTCCTACTTTTAATGTTTCACTTTGCTGTTGGATGATGGTGTTCATAATAATGCGTTGTTTGAAAATTGTAATATTGTTAGAATGAATTCACGGTTGCGCAGTTAATTAATTGACTGACGTTGGACTGTCTGTAGGAAACGTGTTTTGTCCCATTTGATTCTTATAGACAGAGTTCTAATCCCACCTTGTTGGGAATACTCTTACTGATTCTTAGTATACCTGCCAGACGGTATTGTTAAGTATCACAAATTCTTTTACATCAAACCGTGTTTTGATATTGTTAGAATATAAATTTTAACTATGAGTAACTTGTGAAGTGGTAACCAATGCAGAACAGCGTATTAATTGATTTTCTGTTTTCAGACTAAAATACTTGGGTTTTTGTTACTACACTTATACTTAATATATGAACATCACCTATGAACTCTTCATGTGTATACTGTGATTATGGACTCAATGAGAATTTAATGAAGGTACATAGTGGCTTTAACACAATGGTTTAACTCACTAAACACACTGTGAATGCATGAGAGAGTTGATCTTTTTAAAAGTTTATGGAAAAAAGGAAATAAAGTATGAGTAAACACCTAGTTTCTACGTGATAATTGTCTATAACCTTGAAATAATATGTATCAAGTGTTGGTTTGAAGGGATCTGGTGAATTTCAAGTTCGATCACGAACTGACATCAGTTAGAGAGCCACTTATAAGCAGGGAGTATTGGACAGCTGCTTCGTCCTTGTTTGGAACTCTTCACCAGTACGCACTCATTTGTCCACCAGGGGGGGGGACACAGCACTTACAAGGCGAGCTGGTATACCATTCAGCCACTGAGACGGAATCCAATGGCTCATCACTTCGAGCAACTGGACTCTGAATGAAGTCAGTTAGTGATTAACTCCAGAATAACTCTAAATCTCTTTTTTTTCGCTGCCTTTTGCTAGATTTCTGAAGGCTGAATTCACTCTTATTAGTTATTAGCTCTTCAAATTTATCATTGAATTTAGTGTTTGTCAAAGTCATTCAGAATGTATATATTGAGTATCTCTTTCGACTATTGTTGGGATAATAAAAAAAACCTCTCTGTCAACGTTATTGTTATTGTGGTTAACAATTAGTGTAGCTTCTTTACCGCTTTAGATTCGCACCTCTCGTAGTCTAAAATAGATTCGTATTACCCGTCATAACAGTTCCAGTTTTTCAAGTATTGGTTTTGTAAGGATTTTGTTTGATTGCATGGAGGATTTCATCATGAGCTGACATCAGTTAGAGAACCATTGGAAAACCTGGGAGTACTGGACAGCTGTTTCGTCCTATTTTTGGACTCTTCACAGTACGCACCCACCACCAGGGTTAGAACCCAGGACCTTCCGGTTACAAGGCCAGCGAGCTGGTAGACCACTAAGCCACTGGGACCCGATCCAATGGCCAGCCCATGAATTCTAACTTCTGCCAATTCATGACATAGCGCAACCACTTCTCAATGTCTTCTTCGATGATTTACTGCCTCACCTTCAACCTGCTGTACCCTACTGGTCACGGCTTCCCACTAGAACCCCAGGTTAACTGCCTGAATAGGGCCAGTCACTAGTGAGCATCAGATTAATTTTCAAGTATTGATTTTATGGGGATTTTGTTTGATTGCATGAAGGATTTCATCATGAGCTGACACCAGTTTTACCAATATCGTTTAGAATAACAACTACAAGCCTTATTCATCGTCAATTACGGTAGTACGAGCTATGCACGTATAGGAAATAACTAAGGAATAAAAATCAGTTCACAATTTAAATAATTTCTATTCAATAAATACATACACTCCTCAACAATATTAATGACCATAATCGTAGTAGAAATAAATAAATAAATAAATAGATAAATATGTATACATTAAAAGATGCATAAACAACTGAATATAGATAGATAGAAAAAAGAGAAGGAGAGAGAGATAACGAGAGAGTGTTCACTTTGCCTTGAATAACACACATTGCTGCTTAGTCAAGCAATAAAGAATAAAAAGCAGGCCTGGAAATCGTAAAAACAGAGAGGAGGAGGAGAAGCGAAAAAAAAGGTGACACTGTACACAATATTTAAAATTATACACACTAAATGTTTTTATCTTCAGTATTCAAATAATTGTCAAAGTAAACTGTTTAGGATATAAGAAATATTAAAGGAATTTGTTGGAAAGTGGACCATCAAAGCATTCAACATTATCATCATTATCATGGAAGACGTAAATAATCTTTTTCCTTTCTGTAAATAGGAAAGATGTTTTTAAGGGCGAAAAAAATTGTAGAAGATTTTCTACATTTTAGTTTTGTTTCTTTTGTTTGTTTGTTTGATTGATTGATTGATGCTCGGTTATCCTATCAAAGGTTTCTTTCTCTGAATAAGAACTAAGTTGCTTGAGTTGTTACTGAAAAGAAACAAATACAAAAAAGGCCGAAAAGGTAAGTAAGGCAACCGAATAATGGTGACGGTGGTTAATTAGTGCCATAAGTCAAGTAAAAGAAAACTGGTAAATCCAGTTTTCAATGATCGCACTGACTTACGTTGGTTCGTAACAAAAACCCACGAACTTAATATTGTTTTCCAGCTCACTGATGGCTACTGGAGTCCACCATTTCGAGGTGAAGTGGACTCTCATTGAAGGCGATGAGTTGAGTGTAGCGTAATATCACGAATTGACAGTTAGAATTCACAGGTCACTGAATTCCGACCTAAGTGGTTTAGTCAACGGAGCTTCGTCTCGTAATCTGAGGGTCCCGGACTCGAACCCTTATAGGGTCATGGGTGCGTGCTGATGAAGAGTCCTAAATCAGGAGGGAACAGCTGTCTAGTGCTCCCTGATTTCCAATGATCTCTAACTAATGTTAGTTCGTGACGAAATTTGCATTGATATCAATCCACCTGTATCATTTTGAATTGAATTTATTAACTGATAAAAAGCCTCGATCTTGATTACAGAATGACAATTATTCCTAGAATCACTGATCCCTATGCATTTCATAAAAGTATATGAAATCTTCTGACTAGTGACTAGTACGTTGTGTATATCTGAAGTGTAATAACTTAAAATGCATAACAATAACATGCAAATATCATCCAATCAGGTTAGTATACTCTCAATCATTATTACACATCGTCATTTATGATACCACACGCAGTCTTATGTTCCCTACTTATTTTCAAGTATTGGTTTTTTGTAGGGATTTTGTTTGATTGGATGGAGGATTTCATCATGAGCTGACATCAGTTAGAGAACCATTGGAAAACCAACCAATGAGTACTGGACAGCTGCTTCGTCCTATTTCGGGACTCTTCATCAGCACGCACCCACCACCAGGGTTCGAACCCAGGACCTTCTGGTTACAAGGCCAGCGAGCTCGTTGACCACTAAGCCACTGGGACCCGATCCAATGGCCAGTCCATGAATTCTAACTTCTGCCAATTCATGACATAGCGCAACCACTTCGCAATGTCTTCTTCGATGAGTAACTGCCTCACCTTCAACCTGCTGTACCCTACTGGTCACGACTTCCCACTAGAACCCCAGGTTAACTGCCTGAATAGGGCCAGTCACTAATGAGCATCAGATTAATTTTCAAGTATTGGTTTTGTAGGGATTTTGTTTGATTGATTGGTTGGAGGATTTCATCATGAGCTGACACCAGTTTTACCAATATCGTTTAGAATAACAACTACAAGCCTTATTCATCGTCAATAACTGTAGATCCTCGAGGACGAGCTATGTATGTATAGGAAACAACTAAGGAATAAAAATCAGTTCACAATTTAAATAATTTCTATTCAATAAATACATACACTCCTCAACAATAGTAATGACCATAATCGTAGTAGAAATAAATAAATTAATTAATAGATAAATATGTATACATTAAAAGATGCATAAACAACTGAATATAGATAGATAGAAAAAAGGAGAAGGAGAGAGAGATAACGAGAGAGTGTTCACTTTGCCTTGAATAACACACATTGCTGCTTAGTCAAGCAATAAAGAATAAAAACAGGCCTGGAAATCGTAAAAACAGAGAGAGGAGGAGAGGGGGAGAAAAAAAAGATGACACTGTACACAATATTTAAAAATTATACACACTAAATGTTTATATCTTCAATATTCAAATAATTGTCATATTAAACTGTTTAGGATATAAGAAATATTAAAGGAATTTGTTGGAAAGTGGACCATCAAAGCATTCAACATTATCATCATCATCATGGAAGACGTAAATAATCTTTTCCTTTCTGTAAATAGGAAAGATGTTTTTAGGAGAAAAAAAAGTTGTAGAAGATTTTCTACATTTTAGTTTTTTTTCTTTTGTTTGTTTGTTTGATTGATTGATTGATGCTCGGTTATCCTATCAAAGGTTTCTTTCTCTGAATAAGAACTAAGTTGCTTGAGTTGTTACTGAAAAGAAACAAGTACAAAAAAGACCGAAAAGGTAAGTAAGGCAACCGAATGATGGTGATGGTGGTTAATTAATGCCATAAGTCAAGTAAAAGCAACTGAAAAATCCAGTTTTCAATGACCGCACTGACTTACGTTGGTTCGTAACAAAAAACCTACAAACTTAATATCGTTTTCCAGCTCACTGATGGCTACTGGAGTCCACCATTTCGAGGTGAAGTGGACTCTCATTGAAGGCGATGAGTTGAGTGCAGCGTAATATCACGAATTGACAGTTAGAGTTCACAGGTCACTGAATTCCGACCTAAGTGGTTTCACGGTCAACGGAGCTTCGTCTCGTAATCTGAGGGTCCCGGACTCGAACCCTTGTAGGGTCATGGGTTCGCGCTGATGAAGAGTACTAAATCAGGAGGAAATAGCTGTCCAGTGCTGCCTGGTTTCAAATGATCTCTAATTAATGTTGGTTCGTGACGAAATTTGCATTGATATCAATCCACCTGTATCATTTTGAATTGAATTTATTAACTGGTAAAAAGCCTAGATCTTGATTACAGAATGACAATTATTCCTAGAATCACTGATCACTACGCATTTCATAAAAGTATATGAAATCTTCTGACTAGTGACTAGTACGTTGTGTATATCTGAAGTGTAATAACTTAAAATGCATAACAATAACATGGAAATATCATCCAATCAGGTCAGTATACTCTCAATCATTATTACACATCGTCATTTATGATACCACACGATGCCTTATGCTCCCTACTTATTTTCAAGTATTGGTTTTTTGTAGGAATTTAGTTTGATTGGATGGAGGATTTCATCATGAGCTGACATCAGTTAGAGAACCATTGGAAAACCAACCAATGAGTACTGGACAGCTGCTTCGTCCTATTTCGGGACTCTTCAGCAGCACGCAGCCACCGGAAGGGTTCGGACCCAGGACCTTCTGGTTACAAGGCCAGCGAGCTCGTTGATCATCAAGCCACTGGGACCCGATCCAATGGCCAGCCCATGAATTCTAACTTCTGCCAATTCATGACATAGCGCGACCACTTCGCCATGTTATTTTCATTACGGAATATACACATTAGATTATAGGAAATACTAAAAAGACGGTTGCAGCGAAGAAAATTTTCTTTTCTACAAAATCATAAACTGGGTTGTGTATTTGTGTATTTAACATAAGTGGGTGAGAAAGTTCTAAAACTACTTCCGGTCAAGGATCAAATTAATTACACCGCAATTTTATTAATTTGACCCTTGACCGGAAGTAGTTTTAAAACATTCTCACCCACTTATGATAAATACACAAATACACAACCCAGTTTATGATTTTGCAGGAAAGAAAATTTTCTTCGCTGCAACCGTCATTTTATTGTTTTCATTAATCTAAGTGAATTTCCTTTGTTCTTTCACAGATGTTTCGATGATCATGAGATGCAATTATGTAATCTAATTCACATTAGCTAGACAGTTTATTATCAATTTCAGTCCCCCTACTGATTTTCGATAATGCACTAATTACAATAAGTAAATGTACATAAATATGACACTATCATTTGTATTTCCTTTTGATTGATTACATTGCACCGAAATAATCGGTCACTGTAGACATGTCAGCTCCTAGTACAGACGCTCTGACGATGTCTGAGGATTAACATAAGATTATTTGGTGGACGGTGACTGGTGATGGGATCCAGGATGCACATTTCGTCCTATTCATGACTCGTCACTGGAGTAATGATGTTACCACTAAGACTCAAGCCTAGCACGCATCGTTTCTGATGCCAAAACGTTGTCCATTACACCACTTTAGGGATTAATAGGACAAAATGCACATCTCAGATTCTACTGTTAGTCATCCTTCATCAAAATGGCACCATAGTGACTAACCGGATTGGTAGAAAATTACTCAGTATAAACAGTGAATACTGTAAACCCTGTTCATCATTATTAAAAAGCTTGTTAGTCTTTGTTATCTTCAAGGCTTATTATTCCAATCAGAAATCGCTAGAAAACTGAAAGAATTTTCATTAAGCAGCAGACTCATCTTATGACAGTGTCGATTTTATGGAGATAACAAATGGGAAGAAAGGAAAAGCAATCGTAAAAATGTCTTCGTCAAGTTAGAGAACTTTTAGTTTAATGTCTTAATATCATTAGTGTGATACTGATTTGGTTATTATGTATAAAATATCAGTAGTATGCGATAATTAGAATTTTAATTTTGAAATGAAATGAAAAAGGTAGGAATAGTAGAATTATCAACCTTTCACACAAAAGTGGTAGAATGGATTACAGGTGTGCTTTGTGCAACCGACCAGCCATGTTACTCAGTGAAAATACTTTTTCCAGTTTTGGTACCAGGATCATCGTGAATTCGTGACTGACTCCATAACAATTTAAAATCACCCTAGCTATCGATCAGATTAAACAGTTCAACTTCTTTTGCACAAATATCTTTAATTGTGCCATCATGGTTCCAGCAGGCTGATTTAGCAGAGGAAAGATTTTACCATTTTTACTTGAGTTACTTATTTAAAAGTAAGTAGTATACCACAGTTAGAAGTCAAAGTGTGGGGATCTCATATTTATGGACGCTCTGTTTCGCCACGTTAACACAGAGAATGAACATTTCTAGTGTAGATTATTTGAATACTAGAAAGCTCTATGAAGACGTATCTGGAAAGAATACGATCATACAACTTTAAAATTAATCAATCTTCTCAGGACAGGAAAAAATAATCACTACAGATCATATTTTCAGGACATATTTAAGCTAACAATAAAAATAGTGTTCGCGATTAGTTAACCGATTTGCCTTACTATTATTGATTAAACAAACAGAATGTACATTGTAGAGGAGTAGTATAATAAACTTACAGTATCTATTAATTAGGTCTGGAACGTATACGTCCAGATTTGGAGTGTCTTGGTGTATGAGATTGATGTACAGAGCCTGAAGTTATTGGTGATTCTGAATCAATGTGAGATCGTTGTCGTCCTGCAGGGATACCTACTTTCTGCTGAAATAAAGAAATATACAGATAAACTTAGTAATACGTAATATGTAATAATTCTCAATAGAATATACATTAGAATTAAACAACACGAAAAAGTAGTGAAATCAACTAATTCAATTGGTAAAGATACGGATACGTGAAAACATTAAAAGTTTATAAAGACGATAGAGTGAACGCACCCAACCAGAGTGTAATAATAAATTTTAAGTCAAACAATTAATAGTTTGATATCTGTAATTTCTAATATCTAGTGTGTTACATCTGAAGAATCAAAATATCTTACTTTGGGTAGAGTAGTAGTACTGAGATTTTTACCTTTAAACTACTCAGTGTGATTTTCTATTGAAGAAATGTAGAATATCGATTTCCAAAATGCTAAAAGCATAAAACGACAAGCCATACAATTAAAAATACCTAAACGTACTTTACCAACCATCATTATGAATATGGTAAGATCAATAAAAGCTTATTCATTCCTTCAGGAAATACAACAGTTAAATTAACTGTCACTGATTGGGAAAACAAAATACAGATTGAATACAGACAAAATAATAACCACAAGAAAACACAGTCGATAGAATTAGTAAAGTTAAGAAGAACTAAATTTGTACGTGAAAAGAAGTTTTAAAAAACGTTGTTATAGCGCTTCCATATTAGTTTGTTTATTAGATGTATCACACAGTGAAACAGTATTATTTACTGGATGACGTTTCGAACAAAATTTATTGTTCATAATCATATCAATTATAATCACACGACTTCGAAACTTGAGTTTTATAGTTTTCTTTGTCCTCTCCTATTTGTCGTAGGGGTAGTAGAATTTTCCAGATATCTGACTGGACAGGTGTTGAATCATTCCTATTACATGTATTTGCAGTTGATTCGATAAACAAAGCTTCTGTTATCAATCTCTCCCTCCACCCTGTGACATTAGATTTTAAAACTGTCATCCTATCCCATCCTATTGTATGGTTGTGTGTAACTGCATGTAGTGAGTGCTATAGCTGAACTATTCTCTAGATTTCTTATCTTATTCGGGTCAACCAATCTAGATTTCGCTAGGTTTTTATGTTCGGCTAGTCTGACTGCCCCTGTTCTACTAGTTTGACCTATGTATTTGACCTGACAATCATTGCAGGAGGGTATTAGATAAACTAAATTGTTTTGTTTTAAAGGCTCCACAGGATCCTTTAACCGACAAAGCTTGTTTCTAATTGAGTTTGTGGGTTTGAATACCAGCCACTTTTATTCCTGCCTTGTTAAGAATTCTGCGTAAGGTTTCCGAGGTTCCTTCCTTGTATGGAATTACTACTGATGATTTAGATTCCTTATTGTTGGTGTTGTCTTGCGCATATTTGACATGCATGTCGTCATTAATATTATTATTATTATCACTATCACTACTATCATTATTTATTTTATTTTTACATTTCCCTACATATTTCCTGACTAATTTATCAGGGTAATTATTAAGTTTCAAGGCTTCTCTTATATGTATCACTTCCTGTCTTAGATTTTCCTTGGTACTACTTAGTTTTGTGCTCTGTCACTTAAACATTTCACCAATCCTATTTTTACTGACATAGGATGGGATGATCGGAAGTCCAAATATCTGTTTGAATGTGTGGGTTTCCTGTAAACACTAGTGTTTAACTTCCCATCTTCTTTCCTTTTTACGCTGCAATCTAACATTGGCAGTTCCCCTTCGTGACTTTCCAATTCATAAGTGAATTGAATTGCCTCCACCTTTGAGTTAATGTGTTCGAAAAATCTATTTATATCCTGTGTTCTAAGTACAGTGAATGTGTCATCTACATACCTCCACCATACTTTTGGAGTGGGGGTGAACGTTTCAATCGCTATGTTTTCCCACCTATCCATGAATATATCTGCTATAACCGGGGATATTGGTGATCCTCAGTTTGTTTGTATATTTTCACTTGGAATTTAAATACTGTGGAAGTCAGGCATAGCTGCACTCCCAGCATTATGTCCTCCTCAAGTGGCACTTTCGTCCTAAGTTCGAGTTCTTGGTCAGAAATGAGTTCATTTCTGACTGCCTCTATAGCCATATTTATTGGTAAACGTGTGTATAAACTGACAATGTCAAAACTAACCGTTTCCTATTCTCTGTCATAGCGCTTTCTCTGTTGTTATAGCGCTACTTTTTATCAACTGATAAAATACATTTACTACTATTAAAAATTTGACATAACACATGCTTACCTTCCATTCATTTCCAATTGGTTTTGTAGAAACCGGTGTAGATGGTGATAAAATAGCTGAATTCTCTTGAGCACTTCCATTACTGTCAGCTTGAGTACCAGGATTTAAACTAGAACCTAATCCAGAAGTGGTATAATTTGTACCAGGTTCATCCATAGGCCCTGCATCATTATTAGAATATACAATTGGTGAGAAATGATTTAACTTCTTATATGATGATGATCCGTTCAATGAATCATTTAATGACTGAATACTGTGTAAATTACTCGGGGAATGATTTAATTCATGAAATGAATTTGTTAACAGTAGCAAAGATTTTTCTATTCCATTAGATGGATAATTATGACCAGAGATCTCCTGAAAAACAAAAGCAGAATACAAGAAGTTATTCATTTATTGTTCACTTCAAATATCTGATGCTTTTAAAAACTTGGGCCTGTCAAAAGTTTCCAGGTATGCTAAATGTAACTAAGCATAAAGTGCAAAGGGTATTATAGTTGCTAGATGGGACAATATTTTCTAGAAGAGGATAAATGAAACCTGAAGAAAGTAGCAGCTTGTAAGCTGAAATCATGGATCTGACAAAATACACAAATATTAGATGACGAGTGGTAGTTTAAAAGCGAACACAATTACACTATTATAAAAGAAAACCTTAGGGAAACAAGTATAAATACCAAAAGTAAGACTTATCCATAAGTATTGGTTTTGTAGGGATTTTGTTTGATTGATTGGAGGATTTCATCATGAGCTGACATCAGCTAGAGAACCATTGGAAAACCTGAGGGTACTGGACAGCCGTTTCGTCAGCCTAGTTTGTGACTCTTCAGCAGTATGCACCAGCGGGACCCTCTGGTTACAAGACGAAAGAGCTCGTAGACCATTAAGCCACTGGGACCCGATCCAATGACCCATGAATTCTAACTTCTGCCAATTCATGATGAAATCCTCCAACCAATACTTGAAAATTACTCTGATGCTCACTAGCGACTGGCCCTATTCAGGCGGTTACCTGGGGTTCTAGTGGGAAGCCGTGACCAGTAGAGTGCAGCAGGTTGAAGATGAGGCAGTAACTCATCGAAGAAGACATTGAGAAGTGGTAGAAGTTAGAATTCATGGGCTGACCATTGGATTGAGTCCTAGTGGCTTAGTGGTCTACGAGCTCGCTCACCTTGTAACCACAAGGTCCTGGGTTCGAACCGTAGCGGTCGGTGCATACTGATGAAGAGTCCCAAACTAAGACAAAACATTTATTAACAAACATTAACAAATTCACTACAAAAGCTAGTTGGTCTGGCTTGCTCAGGGTCTCACTAACGAAAACCCTACAGACTTTTATTTTCAGCGTAAAGTAAGGATTTTTTTTTACTGGAATCCACACTGAATTCATTTTTATAATAATAACAACAGACACGCGAAAAACGACTGTGGTATATGCTACTTGCGATAATGAACATAGGTGATATACGACACAACATGTTCCTCAAATCAATCATAATAGATGAGTAACTGAAAATCTTGAAATAATAGAGAAAATCTTTTATGGAAAAACCGACATATGGGTGTATGAAATTCTGAATAAGTGACAAACAATGAAGAATCAAATACTTCCATTTGAAAATATTGAAATGAATACAACGTTTATCATTTTATGAATGTCTTTTTGTAATTTGTCTTAGCAGACATTGCATTCGACCTCATTCGTCTTGTCCACGACAATACTATCTCCTAATAAATACTGTAAGTAGATCCCCAGGAAATCAATTTCCTTTGAATGGCTTAGTGTCTGTGACTTAGGGTATTGAATAATGCAGGTTTGAATCTCATATGGAACACGAATTTTCACAAGGCCACATATATATTTTGAAAACAACAGTCAGCATCCATGATGTTTAAGTCAAACACAGTTTCTGTGGATTAACTACTAATGCCCGAAAGAAGGAATCACTTTTGTGTAGATTAAAGGCCTCTATTAGGTTGAACGTGTACGTTGGAATTTGAGAAGTTCTCTCTATAGGAATGATCTTACGGCTATTAGGCAGAAGTGGGTGATTTGGGGTTTGCAGCTTATGCAGTCAACTTCTCCTGAATTATTCCCTCAGAGTGGGAATGCAGCCATGTTGACCTCCTGGTTTTCCGAATGAAACGCGCTACTCCTCTTAACCTCTCCCTTACTCCTTTCAACAGCGGTACGACTTCGGCTGAAGTAATCAAGCCGCTTACAATGTGAAAGTAACTGCCGTCAGTATACCCCCCCCATCCCATGACGAAAGCACCTGCAGATATGATCTTTCCAGACAGTACAGTTTGTCGCGCCATATACAAGCCCGACCATTATGTTAAAGTAGCGCTGTTAGCCAGGTCTAGCACCGAACACCATATTACAGTGAATCACAGTATGACACTGAGATAAATAAGCAAATAAGACAGTTGAGCGCCAAGTGCTTGGGCACGACTAGCTAAATTTGTTACCATCCAGTGATCCATTCGTACATACTACCACTTTTCTATCAATACAACGAATCAAGAGTCCCATCAAAAACTAGCATGAATTCGTAAAAAATAATTGAATACCTGAATTCTTGCATCACTTAACAAACGATCTTGTGAGATTCTTGAATCTGGTTCAGCATTCAATACTTCATTAATTCGTTGACCGAAAATTGTAGATGCACTACCACCACTTTCATCAATCAGTGTATTCACCACATTGTGTTGTTCTAATTCAGCTCGAACTGCTGACAGAGCAGCTTCTAATCGTTTCCCATGTTCAGTTAATTCTGTCTGAGAGGCAATCTGTAAAATTGTTAATGAAGTTACAAACACAAGAAAAGGAAAACAATAGCAGTAATGAAATTTCGATAAATATATATACAGACTTAAACAAATAAGACATTTACAACATACAGTTTATTTTGACAGAACATATAGGGGAAAATATGTAAACAAACTGACAAGTGCACAGTTGAAAAATCTGAGGGAATAAAAGATGTTAAATACTTGGAGTAAAAAAACACAGAAATGACAATGATATTGTGAAGATGATGAAAATATGAAAATCACATACCACCAAGGGGATTTAGAGACACCACGTCTCACTTGTATTTAAAACAACATTTACTTCCTGTTAATCTGCGTTTCAAAATCACGCTTATTTTATAGTTGTCAGGCTGTACTGGACCGATAAGAAGACTCTAGAAGATCTGGATTTCCTGCGTGGATGATTTATGTTTAATATCACACAAACTCGAAGACTTACAGACGAAAAGCAACAAACTGGCAGAAGAAGCAGGCAGCGAAGACAAGACTGCAGGTGAACATAGGGAAGACGGAGACGGAGGTGAAGACAACCAACCAACATAATCAACAACAACCAGCACCAATCACCATCAACGGGAGACATTTGAAAAAGGTTACTTCCTCCACTTATCTGACCACGAGGCATATTCCAACCACAGGCGGACGGCACGGATGAAGACGTCAAAGCCAGCAGTCAGAATCGGAAAGGCAACATACGCCTTCATCAACCTGGAAACCAGTTTGGAAATCTTCTACACTCAGCTAGCATAAAGAACAAGTTTATTTCGTCGGCTTCTCATCAGCTGCTTACAGCCTAAATAAATTGTGAGGTTTACGTACAGAAAAGTTTTTTACATACTTGCAAATTTTACATGTTGTCAGTTGACAAAAGCTTCCACAGTAAGTGAACAGTGCTCAGAAAATTGCGCTTATATAGTTTCTTCACAGGCAGTTCAAGTTTAAACAAAATAGATGTATGCATACAATGGTAAAAGAGTTACATAATAAAGACGAGAGGTGAGTAAGATGATGAGTAACTAATAAATTTTTTTTTTGTAACGATGTACTGAGTTCTAATCACGTCTCTTGTTTCTATGGGTCATCAGTGCAAGGGTGAAATGGAGGAGATCGTGTGATAAGGAGATGTAAGATTATGGGCAATCGTGGACCCAGATGAAGAGGACAGAAGAGAATATAACAAAGTGTAGATGTGTTGTTGAGGCCCTATGTTCCACTCGGAAACCAAGGGAATATTGATAATAAATAAGGCTGCATTTAATACCCTCCTTATTATCACAAGATACGTCATTTAGAGACGACAATTCAGTAAGTAAATTATGTCGTTAATCTTTTTGACATTATTGATTTACTTACTGTCAGTGTGTATAAACGAACCAATCATTTATGAAAATAGTTACTGTGATCACTAGTTTTATCCGCTAATGTCGGGATTCAAGTTACACGAGCACATGACTCATTAAATTAATTTAGAATTATGTTTCTATGTTTATGTAAGCAACCAAAATAAGAATATGGGGAAGTGAGTAAACATAAGAAGTTATAGTCACGTGAACGTTCGTGAGAAGTTGTACTGACTATCAGGTGACAAATTTAAAAAAGACAGTATTTGCCATTAAAAAAAGTTGAGATTTCTCCTGATAGTATAACCTATTCATATAAAAATCAACTTCTTTTGTAATTTGTATTGTGGTGAAGTTAAACTGTGGCAGCTACCACCAAGTACTACCGGCCAAAAAACCTTCCAGATAATCTTGAAGCAATCGATCACGTCACTGATCATGAATGAAGTGCATGCGTAGATAATGGACTATGTATTATGGCCTTACAGGGAAACTTTTGTACAATGTATAAAGGAGAACATGCACTGTAAATTAGGTTCTCTATGTACTTTCAAAATACAGATTACTAATAAATGTATCAGTTTTAACGTTCCCTGGTTATGACTGATTGTTCAAGGTTATTTAGGTCTTTGGTGATAATGTTGTAATAGCCTAACTTTTCCATTTGTGAAGTCAATAGTTACAAAATGACGCACACAGGGGGGGGGGTTAAGAAAAGTTGAAGAATTATGTAAGCAAGGAGTATCAGTTAAATTAGGAGGGAATTTTTATCAAACTAAATGCATTCTCACTATAGATTTCGTTACGAAACAATATCGATCAGACAATTGCTGAAGACCAAGGAGCACTGAACAGCTGCAAAAGAAACTAATCAAATCCCTTCGGACCGAAGATTTAAAAAGAAAATCGAACAGTTCTTGTGTAACTTTCTATAAAAACAGTTCCTTTCGTTTCCATTACATTTTATTTTGTTAACTAGTTTCATATCCTATCAACATTACTTAATTCTACCCAAACTCTATAATGGTTGGAAACAATTGGTGACATGGCTCAAAATCGTTCTCAGTGGCGCAAATGCATCCACTCCTTGTGACTTATGATTTCCAATTAAACTTTTGTTCTCCGTTATTACTATTCCTTTGTCTCACACCTCTGTTTACTGTCTATATTATGCATTTCTTCTACTTTCTTCTCTTGCTTTGCGTGCTACATAGATTGTGGCGACTTGAACTGCCGCACATATGTGCAAAGTTCTATGTCGAAAACCGACCGACCGACTATAATACAGCTCATTTCGATTAATGACTCTGTTTATCTTACTTCTGCTTCTCCCATTAATCCCAGTGGTTAAGACAATATTTTGCAAGTAGGAGTAAGACTAAATTCCACTCTCTTAAAGTCTTCTGTGTAAACTGTCTTATACATGATTTGATAATGCGAACTGTTCAATCCAGAACGTGAGTTTCATTTTATTTCGAACTCGTCAACTGGATGCACCTGCATTCCAGTGAGTGATGGTGTTCCTGCTGAGATTCAGATCCAGTTATCATCGTTTCAAAGGTCAACCAGGTATCCATTAGGTAACTAGGCAACGATAGCCACTCTTTGTGCAACAGATATAACTTCTTATTTAATACGTTATTTAGATAAATAATAAAGAATTTTGATTTTGAATTATAGATACCGTTCAGTATAGATGGTAGAGATGAGGATGTCAACGGTAGGACCGGAGAAACAAGACAGATCTTCATTAATCTGAAATCAGTGTGGATATCTACTGCAATCAGGAGACCGAATAAGATCAGCATCTTCAACACTAATGTTAAATCAATGCTTCTATATGATTCAGAGACGGCGTGTCACCAAAAACATTTCCAATAGCCTACTACAGACTTTTATCGACAGCTGCTTTCGCTCCATGCTGAAGATCACATAGCCAACCAGAAAGGAGGATAAGCAACAAGGAACTCTGGTAAGCGACGAACCAACCAAGAACCTATTGCCTAATAAATATGCCAAAGCAATTGGAGATACCTCTAACACACACACACTGAGGAGACAGTTAAGTTACATCATGTACCAGGCCACCGTTCGCGTGGAACCCAAGTGGGAAAGGGCAAGTTGGACATGAGCACAAGTGTGATATGGACAAGATGGTGTGAAGAGATGAGTGCCTATAGGCAATCGTGCAGCCAGTTGAAGAAGACTGTAGAGAACGGGACGAAATAGAGATGTGCTGTTGAAACCCTACGTTCCAATCGGAGCCCAAGGGAATAATAATAATACCGTTTCGCAGAGCTTTTACCTTCTTAACACCATTAGGCATTATTTAAAGAGACTAGAGTTTCTGTGGAAAAAAAGATCAATCAAAACCACAGTCCCAAAAGTTAAGAAATGTAAAATGATTGAAAATGCATACATAATCCATTCTAGAAGGATGAAATGGGCGAAAGAAAGATAATTTACAACATAGAAATATGCACAGATCCATAAAATGATAGTTAGTTGAAGGATTGTTAGTACACGTGCAACATTATATAACAACAACAACAACAACGAAAAACCATGACCATAGATGTTATTATGTAGCATGCATTGATAGATGATTAATAGACAAAGATAGAATCAAATGTGCACAAAATCAAATATGATACATGATGATACAGTAAAATTTTAGATACACAGTAGTTAGTTGCTTTTTAAAATTACCGTAATCACTTCATCCATAAGAATTCCATAAGTGGTAATCTTGTGGAAAAAATTGAAGGAAAATATTTCAAAAATATTAAAATATAAACTGAAACTGAGGTGAACAAAATTATTTGCGGGATAAAAATAAAGATTTCCCGTCTTTCTTCTTCTTCTTCCTCTTCAGACAGAAATATATTGTGGTTTAAAAAAAAGGGGGCAAAAACAACATCCACTCGTGGGTTAACAAGTGTGAGTATTCTATCGGTATCCGATTGTACTCAATAATCTACCTACACTAGCGACATCAAGTACATAGGAAGGACTGAGAAAGTATCCCTAATAGTCTAAGATTGGAAGATAAAATATTGACTAAAATTATCTCTCTCTGTCTCGTGACATACACTTGCAATCAGTGAAGAGTAAACCTTGGTTACTCAGTCTATAACTGACATAGTTACAGGGTAGTGCCGATTAGTTTTTGGGACAGCTGATGGAGCTGGCTTAGAAATGGCAACATTAAAGCTTTCTATGACCGCCTTTTTGCGCTCCTCCAACCTGTGCTGACGATTCGCACGAGCTTCACGTTTGTGCTGACGCATGGTTTCTGCCTGGTCACTTAGTTGTTTGGCTCAAAGACGCTCAGCTTTTTTCTTGTGAATATGGTCAATTAGCACTCTCTTGTTTTTAAACTGATTACCCTTGCACTATTGATACAATAAATGATACAGATGCTTGTCAATTTTGTGAGCCTCCCTATACCGCTTCAACAAACGCCTCAAAACTCTCATTCGCCTGATCCAAAGTATCTTCTGAGGCATACGAGCATCTACCGTACCTTTTCTTTTACCAGTACCAGTATGACGAGCCTTCCTTCTGGCTAGTAGGTTCTTCCTGCACCGCGAACGAGAGTGGATTGTGACTGGTTTACGAATTATCAAGTTGTCTTTAAACAGCTTTCGAATCATCTTGCGCGAGTTTGCATTCTGGATAGTTGTTGTCTCATTAGGGTCAAGCCATATTTTCTTTTTCCCACAGCCAAAAACAGCCGCAGCCAGACGTTTCTGGGTGCGTAAATTACTCATCTCTCAAAACCGTGAGACTTTCAAGAGTCGCGCTGCACGCGTCTCACACTTGTTACGTCACAATCTTTGCTACAGTTTTGAATTTCACTCACTGAACTAAGCTTATTATTAAGCCTTGCAATTTATTTACGCTTGTTTACGCAACAATTTACTTTTAATTACCATATTTATCCAAGCTCTCTCTCTCTCTCTCTCTATATATATATATATATATATATATATAAGAATAAAGCAAATTTTCCAACAGCTTTTGCCTAAAATGCGTTACCTGTACGAGTATTTACTTTCTAATGGAAAATCATGTCATAAAATTACCCAAATATTTGACCAAACTTAAACAAAGCGCACATAAGATGACTTGTAACTACTCTGCTATCAATTCATATTCAATATAAACTTGAACATAGAATGTATGCACGGATTATTTGCACATTAACCGGAAATTCCTTTGGTTAACAGATACACTGGCTGGCTGGTTGGCTGAACAGCGGTAAATAGCCAATCCATGCACCTAATAATTATAGAAGTACTGATAAGATTTCTTAAGATAAGAGAAAATAACAAGATTAATATGGTGACAGGATTTCAAGTTACAAAAAATTTGTCTAGCCTGTCTGGACTAGTGGAGACACAGCTATATCAGTCAATCATTTCTTTTCAGCCAAACCCACACACACAATCTGAATGCGCATGAGACTGCTAACGTAGAATATGTTGTTCAAACTGTTGACATTATTGCTTTCTCAGTAAAAATCTTGTCAGCAGAAAATAGTAGTCATAGTGATTCTTATCTCAAGTTTAACAAGTATCAACTAAAAAGATTCCAGTAATGCAAGAATGCATAATAATAATAATAGTAAAAGTAATGATTGAGGAAATAAGCTTACTTGACTTTTTAATTGAGCATATTGACGTCTAGCTAAAGATAATTGTTCAGTTAAATCACCAGCACGATTACACTGTTCTTCAGCGACACGTTCTAATTCAGCTACTTCACGAGCTGTACGCCTTTTCAAGCGTTTTGATTCACGTTGAGCAGCTATCAATGCTGATTTAGTATCCATTAGTACTTGTAATAGATTATTATTATCTTGTAGTTTAAGGGAACTGTTCAAGTCCAGGTCATTGTATCGATGATTATGGGAAATCTGTTTATTTACATTATGGTTTCCCGTTGGAGATTTTTGTTGTTCCTGTTGTTGTCGTTCTATAAGAGAAGTTTACAAATTAAAGAGAAGTTATTAAAACTAATGCTCTTGAGAAGTCTTCACACACATCTCACATATAAAAGATAATTTCATGTATTTAATAAGACTTGTTGTCGAAGCTCCACGTTCCACTCGGAACCCGAGGGAACAATAATTAATAATAATAAAAGACAACCTTAGATTAGCTGTTTGATAATGATGCATTGGATAGCGAGTGACGGTGAAACTTTCAGTTCGGAAAGAGTTAGAGAGGGCCAAAATCAAAGCCTGGCATCAATCTATGAAGACTTTGAATGCTGGTTTGAGATAGTCATAAAAAAGGGGTGCAGACGAACTCACTGAGGTCATACAGACGCTAAGAACCAATAGATGGAGACTGTTGGCGACATGACTCAAAATTATCCTCAATGGTGCAGATGCATCGACTCTTTATTATCTTCCAGATCCAGTATATCCTCCATGTAATTATCCATTCTCTCATATATTTCTCTTCATTATAGTTCCTATGAATTTCTTCTTTTACCTTTGTGTGTTGTATGGAGTGTGGCAACTTGAACTACTGCACTTTTGTGCAAAGTCCTATGTTGAAAAATCAGTCTTAGTCAGTGGGATTTTTGGTATTACTGTGTTCTCCAACCTCTATGATTTAATTGTGAAGCTAATTATCCAGTCCCGTTATCTCTATAGAGAAGACGGAGGTGATGAAGATAACCAACCAACAACAACAGTAACAACCAGCACCAATCACTATAAATGGTAGAGATTTAACAGAGGTTTCTTCCTTCACTTATCTAGGCAGCCAACATCGTTTCAACTACAAGCAGTGGGAACGGATGAAGATGTGAAAGCCAGCCAGCCAGAATCGGAAAGGCAAGATACACGTTCATCGAACTGAAACCAGTTTGGAAATCTTCTTCACTGAAGTCAGCCAGCATAAAGAACAACACAAATGTGAAGTCAGTTCTTCTATACGAGTCAGAAACTTGGCGCGCCTCACGAAAAGGATTTCCAACAGGTAACTGATTTTTATCAGCAGCTGGCTTCATACTGAAGATCCTATGGCCAGCTGGCCAGGAAGAATTAACAACAAGAAACTATGGACTATATATATATATGACTCGTCACACTAATTCATTCCCCATTACGTATATATAACTGTAGAACCTGATGATGAATTTATTGGAAATAATATTCTCTTATCATTGATCATTCTTTTGAGAAACCAAAATACTTTTTTAAAAGTCTTCTGATGATTTAAAGGATAGCGTTTCCGTATGAAATTTGCTGTTTTTGGTGCTGCCTCACGCACACCTACACATAAAATCCTAGTGAAAAATGAATTAGGTATCTACTTTTTTTTGTTAAGGAAAAAACTTCACTTTGACTTAATCAGGTTAATGAGAAAAAGTTGAAAAGCGAATAAAGACACTTGGGAAAACATACTTAATTCCTCCAGCTCCTTTTCCATTTCTTCGTATTTACTTTTCGCTAACTCTTTGCTGTTCAATTCATTCTGTAAATAAAAAATAGGGTTTCGCATAAAGTACATCAAATAAAAATTGGTCTAGAAAAACGCTTGTATTTCTTAATATTACTGAATGCAAATCACTTGGATAAAACTGTATGCTTTAGGGAGTGAATGATCAAAACACACATATTTGGTTTAATCGTGTTCTCTGAGCTGAATAATCTTCAGAGTTAATCCCCCCAGCCCCTTTGTTATCCTAACTGCAATAGTCTTGCATCTCTGTAATTTTTCCAACTAGAATCTTTACTTGTGTGAAGATTGATTTTATTCTGTTGACCCTATACTCGACCGTTTAATCTAGTTTTCATTGTTAGTCTCCCAGTAAATTCCCTGACATACACAGCACTTCCTTTGCATACGACTTCTAAATTTTTCCTGTCGAATCACCGTTCTTAGCTGTACAAGTGCACTGGAATGAAGCAAGAAATATTTTACCTTTTGGCTGTTCATCAATGCAAACATAAAGAAATATAGTGTTTTTTTCGCAGTAATTGTAATCTGTCTTATAAATAGTGTTTGTCTTATTTTCTTATTTTCAAGTTACCTTTGAAGATGTTGTCTAGGTTGATAATGAGAGGTTCGCAATTAATAAGTGGAACTCAGAGAATATAACAACAAAAATCCAAAGCAAAGACGAGTAATTAAAATTCTCGTACTAACAAAATCAAACGTGTGAGTGATGCGAGAAATTTCAAACACAGAATTTCTTGGAGATAAGGCTCTGAGCTACTACTGGACAACAATAATGACTCATAAAATTACGCAACTTGAATAATGGTGCTAATACAGAGCTTATTGATAGTAAAACTATTTTCTGGGTAGTGTGTGATGAAGGCGAACAAACAGTAAAATTATGCGCCTAAGGAGAGAAAACCGGGACAAAGCAGGCAGAGTAGATCTCCTCAGACTATACTCTGCAGTCTATAACTCAACAATATTCAATATCAACAACAGAGATAAGAACGAACAAGTGCAAGGAACATAGGAATATCATGTAGATAACTACAAGGAGCATAGTGAGGAAGAACCATACCAATATGCTAGAATGTTTGCTTCATATAAAGCAATATAGTTTCCACAATCATAGAATAACAATGATGAAATGTGAACTGACCTATACTACTGATTCATACAGAGTAGTGTGAGAGATGGAAGCACGATTTTGTTTTCCTTCACGTTCCCCAGTGGAACATAGGGCTCCAAGCTAATGGCTCGAAGTTTCTGTAGCAGTGTTTATTTTACGGGATGGGGTTGCTAGCCTCATGCCCAACCTTTCCTCTTCACCAGCATTATTTCTGGCTTAGCGAGGTGATGGAGTGCGTCGGCCGGGGATCGAACCTTAGACCATGTGCATGGTTGGCGAGCGTCCTAACCGCTATACCACCGATGCACACAAGATGGAAGCACAAAGGATGAAAAAGGGCCTCTAAACTAGATGGACCATGAGTTTCATCATACGGAAATTTCATCAATCTCAATTAAAAACGTTTTTAGTAGTGAACTACAGAGAATAGTTTAATTTTCAATAGTAGTGAAAAAGGGATCTTTTTTGTCACTCTTATAAGTTAAAAACCTTATTTATCGGTGCTGACAAAGTACTACAATAACAAATCACAACAAGAAGTTACACATTCAGTATTGCAAACGAGAAAATGATTTAGACGAGGTGATGAGATGAAGAATAATACAGAAACAATTGCTGATTAGCTGATTACAGAAGTAGAGACGATAGACACGAGATTTCGCTGAAAAGTCAAGACACTTCGGAATCAGGCAGGCAACCTTTAGATTAGCTACGATTACAACTGTTACTAACGAGAGGAAATTAGGAGAGAAATTGCATTAGAAAAATAAACTAATAATACCAGTTAAAAATTAATAAAACTCATGAGGGGAAATATACCTGGAGGATATTCAACCTTTCATTCACTTCATTCAATTTAGATGACTTTTTTGACAGTTCCAATTCAACAGATTCTAAATGTTGACGTGTATTACGAAGGCGCTTCAAAATGGAATAAAAATATTTTGTGAAGTGATGAGATACAATATTACATTGAAACAATGAAATTGTAAAGAATTAATTTGTTTATTAATTTCCCAGGAAAAATTGGAAGTGAAAGGATAAATGCTCACAGCCGGACTGGTGTACATGCAGGTCTACCTAGGGGAGCAGGGAAACCCTGATTCCAAACCTATGATATAAATGGGCTCCAGAATCTGAACATATCAAATGGTGTATGAAACTCTTTTGCTTACCGAAAGCCACAGCGACGTAATTCCTGATGCTGCTCCATGCCTCTGTGGATCATACTTCAAACAGATGGCTTGGAGGGTGAGGTCCCAAAAGATAACCACCTTCTTCAGTCTGCGTGACTGGGCAATATCCCAGCACTTGCACAAACCAGAAGATTTCGTGTGGTGCGTCTTTTGGTGCCCATAATATACCAAGTTTGTGTTCTAACGTCAATAATGATGATAATACATCAAAAAAGTACCTTTGATCGATATGGTTTATTTCGTGTTAACAGACTGAGAACAATGATTTAATTTAGGTTTAGATTTCCCCGTCGATTGATTGAACCGAAGTGCTCGGTTTTAGGTTGACATGTTGGCTTTTTGTGCAGATGCTTCGATGATGTCTGGGCATGCAATTAGAGGTTAATTAGTGGATAGTGACTAACAGTGGAATCCAGGATTTGCATTTCGTCCTATTTTGGACTCGTCATCCGGATGTGCCTGCATTCCCTAGTGAGTGATGGTGTTTCAACTGAGGCTCGAATCCAGTGTCCATAGTTTCAAACGCCAAAGCATTATCCACTAGACCACTTCGGCCACGAGAGCTGTCTCTTGTGCAACGGGTCATTATTATTATTATTAATATTATTATATCCTTTAATTCCTAGAGGAACATAGGGCTTTAGCCGTGCGTCTCCATTGAGTTCGGTTCTCTGCTAGAGTCTTCACCTGGCTCCATGTCTGCCCACACGTTTTCATCTCCTCTTCACATGACCTCCTCCAAGTCACCCTTGCACTGACGACCAACTCGCCGCTTCCCTTTCGGGTTCCACTCGAGCAATGGCTTGTCTAGTGATGTCACTTGATGGTTTCCTCAGAGTATGGCTAATCCATCTCCATTTCCTTCTGCAATGGGTCATATTAATTATTTAATTCTATTTTAGATTTAGGCGTCGATTGATTGGACCGAAGCGCTCAGTCTCAGAGACCGTTGGGAACATCACTTACTGCGGAATGTGCAAGTAAATCCAGTGAAGAGTCCATGTAACATATTTGGCTGTTACATCTTATTTTTTACAACACATTACACAAATATAATGCAGTAAACATATATGACAAAAAGCACGGAATACTTACCTCGTCTAAGCGACATTGTTCACTGTCTTTTGAGATTCGTAAGTTATTCAATTCCTGGAAACATTTATTTAAAAACAGTAGTGTTAGTAGGTTTAGTTAGAATAATCAACATTTATGTGTACATAATTAAACACGTGAAATATGTTTAATTTGAAAAAAGAAATTATTAAGATTATTTCTTAGCACGGAAGACGGCAAACAGTCCTGTTATGTGGCATGAGAAACAAAAGTTAACATTCAGTGCTAATTTAAGCTTTACTTATCGTCGTCTATTAGTGCTTATGACTGCTTGACATGAGAAAAATGAACAAAAAAATGAACAGAAAGCAAAATTTAATCCAATCCCATTTAAAATAACGAGCTATTCACAATGAAGCAACAACACTTGTTGCTACGACTATCATTTCTCAAGAAATTGTACATATTTCGGTCACGAATTGAGTTCAGTTAGAGGAACATTGAAAACCAGGAAGTTCTGGACTGTTTCCTCCTTTCCTGAGACTCTTAATCAGTACGCACCCATGATACCACCATGGATTCAACCCAGGACCTTTAGGTTACAAGCTGAACTCGTATAACATTCAGCTACTGGGACATTATCAGAGGAAGGCGCATGCATATAGCACACAGCCTTCTTCAAACCTTGCACACAACCATTAGGTCGCGTACTATCCCATCGCCCTTGACGGATCTGGCAACAAAAGTCACGAGAACACCATCTGAGTATATGACAGGTTAGGTACCCCTGGGATGGATGGAATCCAATGGCTCATCAGTTTTAGTCACAATGGACACTAACGAGTTCACCTTGAAACCTGAAAGTCCTGTATTCGATCCTTGAAGGGATCATGGGTGCATGTTGTTGAAGAGTCTCAAACAAGGACGAAGCGTCTGTCCAGTACTTTCTGGTCTTCAATAGTCCTCTAACTGAAGTTAATTCGTGATCGAAACTAAAATCAATCAAATTTCTGCAAATCAACTCTTGAAAGATATTTTTAGACCTCAAGTTATCACAGTCAGTCGCGTTTATTTTGCTTGTACTGAGTATTTATTTGTTAGTTAAGAAATTGTGCTATTTCAGATCCTTTTGCATACATATTTCAATATAAAATTTACAACAAACTACTGTTCAATTAAATAAAGATGAATGTTTTAACTAAACTTTCAAAGCCCAACAGTAGTGGACAGTTATATCAGTGTAGTTCCAGATTCAGCGAAGGATCGGAGAAGCAAGAAGAACATTCGTCACTGTGAACAAATGAACATTGTATATACTTAAGTTTATGATTACAGCCATTAGACGACAGCTGCTCATCAAGAAATAAACTAAGTACACTGTAATCATTATTATGGCTTATTCGATGCTGCATGACAGACAAAATTACAGTTATAAAAAGATTGTGTACGAAGATGATGTGAACTGAGTAATGTAAGAAGTTAGTAAAAATTAAAACTAGAGTTCCAGAAGAGTTGAGCTATGGCTCATTCCTTTAGGCGCTCAACTTCCAACCAGTGGGTCACCGATTCGAAGTCCGCACAATATACACTGAAGTTTGGGCAGCCACCACCCCTGGTAGGTGTGGCTCATTGCCAACTGAATGGAACTACAAGCGGTTTGTTCAGCCACATTGAGTTCAGTTGAGTATCAAAAGAAGGGTTAGGCTGTTATAAAACATTGATTAAGAACCAGGACGGAGAAAGAAGGTTAAAAAATAGATAAAAGAAAAACAACTTAATTACATTGAGAAGACAATAGAAAATTTGAGCAAAGAATATTCTTTTCGACAATTTCCTCCTCCAGAATAATTGCCATTAAAAATATTGGTGTTTTTTAAATACTATCGATTTGTTAAGACCAGTGAAATTACAGTTCAAGAAAGATGCATAAGTTATAATAAGCATAAAAATGTAATAGTAAATAGAATATCAAATAAAATTAAGGGAATTTCTATAACAAATTAAGGATCATTAAAACCTTGATGGCCAAGAGGGTAAGGAAAGCGTCTGAACCAATTTCTTTTGGATACATAGATTAGGCTTCTTAATGTAGATTCCAACAGCCTCAGCAATATGTAATAGCCGAACTTACGAGGTAAAATTAAGCTTAGTTGGTATACAGTAGATGACTTTGAAGGACTTGTTTACATCGATTTTGTGTTCTGTATCTACGAGATGAGACAGTATATAACTATGAATGAACTTTGTCTGTCCCTTACTTAACCACGTTGGATGGTGTTCGGAAATCCGACAATAAATACGCCTAATTGTACAGTCTATGTAACTGATTCCACAGAAGCAGTCAAATCGATACATACACATAGAAGAGGCGAAATATGGATGGTTTTGCAGACACAGCATACTTCAGCAACACTGAATGCTCTTTTTACTGCATTTCTTAGGCGCTGTGTTAATATCTCACTGATGTTATCGCCGAGGAACTGAAGTTGTAAGAACAAGGCCTTTTTCGGAACTGTTAGTACTTTGGCCTGCCTTGACTTTTGATGCATATTCTTATCAATGAATTTTTCTGGGTAACCATTCTCACTCAGCAACTGTTTAATAATATTAAGCTCATCATTAAGACATTCATCAAAGCAGATTGATAAGGGGGAAATCACACATGACTGAGTTGATGAATTCATTATTTATTAAAGTTACTTTGACATACACTTTTATTACTGTCAATAATTTTGATTCCGATTAGTTTGTTATGCGTTGTTATCGGCTTCATTAGATTGTTTGTTTTTCTTTCATTTCTGTATATAACTTTTATAATTGACAAATATACTATTGGGTTAAAGAATTATAAATTTTTCATATTATTTATATACATCAGCTTGTAAACTTTCTTCAACTGTTTCTTTAGCTACACACACACACATCAGTACTTTCATTTCCTAACCTTCTTTTTTGCTGACATAATACCGACTTGTTAATAAGTAATACGGAATATTCTCATAATGATAATGACGAGGAAAATGAATGAATTCGCGAGAAAGCTTGACTTTCAGCCGAACAATATTCACAACAGAGAACAATTAAACAATAACCAACGATTTTTTAAGGTACATAGGTTAAATGTTTTATAAGCTATTTTAGACAGTTACTTAGCGCAAACGGGGTACTTTCTTAGTGACTAATTCAATTGCTCAGTCCTATTTTTTCTCTTTCACGTTCCCCAGTGGAACATAGGGCTTCAAGCTAGTGGCTTGAAGTTTCTGTAGCAGTGTTTATTTTTACAGTATGGGGTTGCTAGCCTCATGCCCAACCTTTCCTCTTCACCAACATTATTTCTGGCTTAGCGATGTAAAGGAGTGCGTCGGCCGGGGATCGAACCCCGGACCATGTGCATGGCTGGTGAGCATCCCAACCGCTATGCCACCGACGCACCTCAGTCCTAAATAAGGAATAATAATAATAAAAAGCTGAATCTATCCCCTCAGTTACCCGATATTGAAGTTTAATGTACATCAGGCTAATAGACATATTGAGCATAAGTGAGATAGCAGTAGTATTGTGTCTAACAGGCTGAAGTACGCGATATGAATTTTGAAAATAGTTTTTTTAAGATTGATGAGGAACTGAATTCAGTTAGAGAACCACTGAAAACCAGAGAGTACTGGACATTTGTTTTGTCCTTGCTTGGGACTCTTCAAACTCTTCTACACTCACCCATGACCCCACAAGTTACAGGTTACAAGGTGAGTTCGTAGACTATTCAACCACTGGGAAGGAATTGAATGGCTCATTAATTCTAAATTCTGCCATTTTGCGATGTTTGGTGCAGTTTTCAATAGTTTTCTAAGTGAATTCAGTTCGTGGTCAATCTTGAAACCAATCAAATCCCTATAAACCAACACTTGGAAAATAGTGGGTTTTTTTACTGAATTGAAAGTCAAGTGCATAAGTCAATTAGTTTTAGTATTTTATAAATTAAGAGGTTTCCTTATACTGTTGTTACAATTTTCATAAGAAGAACAAAGCAGTAATAATTAGAGAAACCAGAAGAAAATAAATAGCATTTCAAAAAATATATAGAAAAATTACTAAGTTTAGTGATAGGTAAAAATGAAGTGTCTGAAAAAAGGAATGACATCATAAAAACCAAATGTTTTCATTTGTAAGGAAAGAATTAAAGGCTTCAAAATGTCGTCAGATGACCAGATATCTCACAATTAACTCACTAGAAAATACAAACCTTACAATAATAAATAAAAAAGATCTTTTGAGTGAACACGTGTTTTCAATAATATCTTCTTAAGGCTCTACAGTTATAAATTCATGAATGTTAGAATACAGTAGTAGCCAGTAAAGATAAATCAAAACTGTATTGGGGTACAAATATAAGACGGAATGATAGTCTATTGGTTAGGATTGTTAATTAAACGCATTTGAAACGTAAAGTCATTAAGAATAAACAATTAAGTGACCGGCTAATGGGCTGTATACCGAGTGCCAAGCAATCTGACTAAAGGTACATGATTACTTCTCCTAGCCACAGATGAAGTTATAGGGATCAATAATACGAAACCTAACCTATGTGTGCAAGAAAAGTACAATCCCAAACTAGGACGAAACAGCTGTCCAGTACTCCCAGGTTTTCCAATGGTTCTCTAACTAATGTCAGCTCATGATGAAAATCCTGTAACCAATCAAATCCCTACAAACCAACACTTGAATACAGCCATCCCTCTTTGTTTACCTTAGCCTACCCTGAGGTCGTCTGGGACATGATCACTTCATACTGCCATATGCCCTTCTTATTCCTCCTTTTCACCTAGTTCACTTCAAAACATTATTATTTGTCACCCCAAGCTTATCTTGTATCCACTAGTTGATTACAGTTCACTTATATGACCACTTTATTTTATCATTATATTTGTTATCCGCATTTGTTTGTTTAGATTTTTGTAGTATTCACATTTCTCTCACACAACTGAGGACAACTCATTCACTGAATACAATGGTACGTCACTTGATTGTTTATTCACATTTTATTTTGTGTTCTGAATGACTGTTAGTTAGCCATGCATTTAATTGGCTATTTTAACCAAAACCGACTATTACTTCATCTTATTCTTGAGCCCCGATACAGTTTCAGATGCTATTTTGATTTATGTTTAATGGCTATTGTATTTTATACCGTTCATGGACTTATAACGCTAGAGTCTGAAGAAGTTAGTTATTGAGAACAATTGTTCGCAGAAACGTTTTTCTAGTTCTGAATATACTATAGGGATATTTAAATTAATAATGAATAATCGATTAATGGATTGTAATATGAATTAAGTGCAAAGACTGATCGTTTTTGCTCATACACAAACAGGGATTAAATTCCTAAATGGTTATTCTATTGAAGTTACGGCTGAAGATGCCTAGAAAGACAATAAAAAGCTTAGCAATTGAACCATTTAGTTAAAAGGACTTCAGCGAATCACAGTGTGCACACCTTCCTATCCCTGTATAAAATCTTATATTGCTTCTGACATTGATTTTATGATTTCTACCATATAATGTGGCAAAACCTTCATAGTATGATAATTCTCCTTTATTTAAACGTGCACACAGTGAAAAATGATGGATTACTATGTTTGAGCTTGTAGTGAGTATTTGTCCCCTTTCCTCAATATGGATAAAGTCCAACTGCATGTCCTCTGCGATATGTATTTATAGTTGGAATAATCCATTTTCAGATTGTACAAATGAACCAATAAATAATGCGCATTTCAACAAGAGATATATAAAATCTTTGAAAAGACGACAAAAACTAATAGCGAAAGAGGTGGATTCCCCGTTTGCCTTCTCAATATTTCTGTAAGACAAGATTTCAGCGGGGGTCGAACAGTTAATACAAACAGTATAAAGTTCATATTAACTATTAAACTCGTCTGTATCTGATAAATTTCAAGAAGGAATTTGGGAAACGACGAGAAAGGAAGAATATTGAATAGTAGGACTTATCCTGGTCTGTAACTCTTCCGAGATACGCTCCCCTGATTCCACGAAGAATACAGCCCATAATTACTTGGAAATCCAAGTAATCACATTACCTAAACCATCCTAGGACCGCTTCTTCGTGGACTCATAGAAGTTCATCTTTAGAAAATTTCAGACAAAGAGACATCAGATGTTTAGTTTTTTGGGGGCTTTTTAACCGTCCTGTAGCTGATATAAACTTATATCGAAATCTAGCTGCTAGAAGTAACATTAATAGATGGAAAAGGGTAAATTACACAATACTAAATACATGTAACTGAAAATATAATGTACTGTTTTCAAAAATAATGAAAATAATAATAGAAATATCAATTTATATCAGTGTATAAGGTGCACGGTATGGTGAAAGAGATATTGTGCAAATTGATATAAAACTATTAAGAAGAAGTTATAAAATATGAATACAAGTATGTATTGCATCTATTTCATGCAACTAAGATGTGCAATTAATTAATTACTATACAGGAAGGCATGCAAATAATAATAATTCACCCTTACAATTGTGTTTACATTTATTACATATACACTACAACAAACAGTGCCTGCCTTTCTATAGGAGTAAAACAAAACAAAAAACAAAAAGGAAATAGTCAACATCATGGATACTGTGCTGATAAACAACTAGACATTGTTCAGGAGTACACAGCATCCTTCTAAAGTGGAATCATAACATTCACTCTGGATTAAAATTAGGCAGGCTTACAACACGATTATCTGATAAAGAATGCCGTGGAGTATTCTAAAGGAAAGTGTTAAAAAGAAATGTATAAATACCGTAGGAAATTATCTCGCTAACAACTGAGGACAGTATTAATTGGTTAGCGACAATATTCATTAGTGAAAAAGAAATAATAAATTCCCACCTTAGTAACTGTTTTGTTTTCTGGTTGCATCATTTTGTTTTCCTCAATTTTGGTTTGACTTTCATATTAGACTTTAAATTTTGACCTTTCAAGTTTTACTCACTGTATTACATCACCATCTTTCTATAGGACTTCCTACACACCAAATTCTGACTTATTTAGATCTTCTGAGTTCTACTCATTGTATTTTTATATCTGGTTATCCAACTGTTGATGACTTATGAAACTTATTCGTAATACTGTCACCCCTAGTAAATTTATTTCTTTTTTACGAGAAAAACTATGCATGTGACCAGAGTTCGATTTCCGGGAGATGCGCCCGTAAATCTCTCCTAGTTCACTAGCCGACAAGTAAGCTAAGAAAAGAGGGGAGGTTGGGTGTCGACTGGCACCTTCATCCCGTAAAAAACGACACCACGACTACTGAAACTTCAAGTCTTTTGAAGCCCTACGTTCGAGTCGGAACTCAAAAAATACTTGGAGATATCTTATCATATCCTTGTTTCATTTCACTATGCCACTCTTTCAATACTGCTTACTGGGGAACTGGATTCCTGTTGTAATTAACAGACGTCCCCTTCGTCTTCGTATCCACGAACATAAACTAGCCATCAAAAGACATGATACCCACTCCCTCATATCACTACATACAGACAACCACGGACATCAATTTGACTGGGACAACGTTCAAATATTAGACAGAGGAAATAACAAGAATGCTAGACAATTTTTTGGTAGCTTGGCATTCCAGTGAATCATCAATCAATAGACACATCGAGATAGACAAAATTTATCAACCGATAAGAAAGAAACCTCACACACAAAGGATCAAAGTTCAGGTCAAAGAAACAATGAGTTACAATACAAGTAATCTAGAAGGTGTGAAAACACACAAAAACAACCAATCACGTTCAAGATCACCAGGAGAGATGATTAATAAACTCGTGGAGAAATCTAAAAGCTCACTTCAAATTGAAGTATGCACTGAAGATGTCGCCTAGTAGGGCGATGAAAGCTTCGCAAATTAACTATCCAGCTCAGAGAACACAACCACATGAAAAACAGATGTTGAAATTATTATATGCTTCGTTTTATTGAATACCGCAGGTCGCACGCAGATGTAGAGAACTGACGAAATAAACTGGAACCATGTTATTCTGCACCAATGTTTGTTGTTTCTTATTTCAAATTTATAAAACGGGGATTTGTTTATGAAATCTACATATTTTGGCACATTAAGTCAAAGTTCAATTAAGAAGAAAATAAATACGCGCTGAAATTACATTAATGCAGTGTAACTGAGTACAGAAGATCACACATAAGACTCGAAATCAAGAGTGTGTTATCTACTATTATTTTATCCTGTTTTTTCCAACGGGTAGAGATTTCGTCTATCGCAATCGAACAATCAATAGTCAATTTACCCAAAATAATCCTGTGGAGACTAAAAACTCAAAATTTGAGCGGTATTATCATCAAAAACAACTAATTAAACGTGATAAAAGAGAATTCAAAGAATAAACCACTAACCTCTTCAATAATTTTCTTTTCATTTTGTATTTTATTCAATTTATTCATCACATTTCTAAGTGAATCTTCACTTGCCAGTTTATTTTCATCAGCTAATTGTTTAGCTAATCTACCAGCATGAACTGCTTCTTCTAAATGACTTAATTCATCTGACAGAAGAACACGCTGGCGACGTTGTTCATTCAAGCTAGATTCTATAGATTGTTTTAATTCATTAGCTTTCTGTAGACGTTGTCTAATAATGATAATCAAAACAAAATAAGTGAAATAATAAAGTTTAATTCATGGATGAGAAAGAAAAACTAAAAGCAAGTTGATTAAGTAAGAGAAACATGTTATGTATGTAGCATAAAGACCTTGTACTATTGATGGGTTGCAACTTGACAATCCGCGTCGGTGGTTCAGTGGTAGAACATTGGCCAACCACGCGAATGGCCAGGGATTTGAACCCTGAACAACGCACGTTTTTACCTCAGTTTAGTTGACTGTAAGGTTGGTAAAGAGGGGAGTTGGCGTGAAACTGACAACCCCATCCCGTAAAAAACACCACTGCTACAGAAATTTCAAAGCTCCAGCTTGAAGCCCCATCTTCCACTGGGAACGTAAAGGTATAAAAAAACTCAATAACAGTTAACACCAAAGAATTAGGTAAGATCTTGATTAAGAGGAAACTCAGGATTATCACACCAGATGGTTGAAGACAATCCCTTTTTGTACATGTGAATTCATTGGACTCAAAACTTGCCACTATTATGAAACAAGCTCTATAGAGCTGAAATTATGGGAGCATCAATCTATTGGGTGCTGTGTTGAGATCTCACTAAAAACAGCATTACCACCTGAGGAATTCAGGTAGATCCTCCTTACGAGCCCCGAAAAGAAAAACAAGCGCGTCCTAGAGATTCCACTGTTAGCAGCCACTAACAACCAAATGACACCATGTTAACCTTAACGTATCGTCTAAGCTTTCGTACTAAGGTTAAACATGTCAACGAAGATCAGTCCAATAAATTTAATCAGCCAGAACATCAAAAATAATTTCATCAGGTAATTGTGTAGTTGAAGAAACACTGACATTTTCTTGAAGGACTTCCTAAGACGTTAGCGGATGTTAGTGAATAAGAAAAAAAATCAATCCTACTATTTTAGAAATCTCTCACTAGATCTAAACCGTATATCTAATGATTCCTTAATTTGACCTAGTGTCATCTAGTTATCCTGACATCCAGCTTAGTTGATATTTTATTTTTTTATTACAACCCGAAATAAAAACCTGGATCAAATTACCAAGTGAAAAGTAGGAGTTGCTTCATTCTAAACACTCAAAGAATGACATAATCATAATTTGTTTTAGATGAGTAAAAATTTTAGGCATTTATAAATAAGAGTTGCTCAACGACCACTTCCATCTTTATGCGGTCAACAATGAACCAGACCTATTCTGCAAGGGATTATGATACTACTTGGCTATCTAAACCACAGTAGGCGAAGCAAGATTCAAGCCTGGAACCCAGTGGTTGGAAGCCTGGACCAGAAAGCCAAAGCCATACGTATGCACCTATACAGATTTTTTTTATACCTTCACGTTCCCCAGTGGAACATAAGGCTTCAAGCTAGTGGCTTGAAGTTTCAGTAGCAGTTGGGGTTGCTAGCCTCATGCCCGACCTTTCCTCTTCACCAGCATTATTTCTGGCTTAGGGAGGTAAAGGAGTGCGTCTGTGGCCGGGGATCGAACCCCGGACCATGTGCATGGTCGGTGAGCGTCCTAACCGCTATGCCACCGACGCACCTATACAGATATATACAGATAAATATCCATCAATAGAAATTTTACGATCTCGTAATTGCATTATTTTTTAAGTAATCTGTTTTATCAGCATAATGAAATGGGTTGAATCGTCTATTCCTCAGCATATGAACAGTTAATATGCATATATAAACTTACTGTGCAATATTGAATTCATCACGACTATCAGTTGTCTGTTTAAATATTCTATCACAATCCGCTAATGCTGCATTCCGTTCAATATTCTTTTGACAAAGTTCCTCTGATGCTGCTTCAGATTCAGCTTTAATTCGTGCTAACATTAATTGTGATTCAGCAATTGAATCTTTCAGTAGAGTTTGTTGACTGAAAAAGAAAAAAACAGGCTCCTTAAGACTGTCATCATTTGAAAAATTCAAAAGAACAATAAATGAAATTACCTTTATAGCATAAATTAAAGTTAGTTAAGTGAAGTGTCTATTGAAAAGAAAAAGTGATGAGGACCGTAACTAAACACACTAGATCGACGGCCTGTTTAAATAATCACTGGGCTAACAAGTTTTCTTTTCCATCCATCAAAATGTATCATATTAACTGGATTTCATATTGTTCTAACCATACAACTACGTTCTTCCAATGAAACTATATTGTTCGTCGTTATTACTATTCCTTTTGTCTCATATCCCTGTCTACTATCTCTGTTGTACATTTCTTCTACTTTCTTCTTTTGCTTTGTGTGCTACATGGAGTGTTGCGACTTGAAATGCTGCATATCGGTGCAAAGTTCTATGTTGGAAACAGACAGACAACTATGTTCAGCAATTGTAACCTACTCTAATGCACATCTTCAAAAACATTTCAACCTTCTGCCAAAAATCTTTCGAAGAAGATGCAAGAAGAACCTCGTGGAGTAATGGAGGATGTTTTTGATGGAACAATACTGCTTCAAGTGATTCACTAACCGATTATTAATATTACTAAAAAGTATTGTACAAGGAGTAAATACATTGCAATAAAACAAGTTGAAAATTCTGTATTATTTTTACAACGAACTTTTCAGAAGAAAGCTATTATTATCGCGTAGCGACCAAAACCGACATATTGTTGTCGTTTAAACGCAGAAAACCAATCTTTGCATTCTATTGTGTAGTTAACCAAAACTCCCTTGAGTTATCCCGACCGATAGCTGCTACCTTGACGTGGTGGTCGGGCTTGCATATCGCAATGACCCAACAAGCTACACTGACTGGAACTATTGTTCCTGCAGATCCTACCATGCCAGGAAGGTTGTTAGGATAGCGATTAGACTAAAATCAGCTACCAGCATAGTGTAAGAATTTTTTACACTATGCTGGGGGTCTGTGGGCGAAGTCGTACTGCTAGGGAACAGGGATGTAACAGCAGTAAGGTGTTTCCTCCAGATGACCAGCATGTCAGCTAGCTATGTTGTCTGTCTAATCCGGAGGGAAGGGGTTAGAAAAAGTCGACCCCAACAACTGTACATCCCGACTTACCCTACGGTTGTCCGTAGCCGGCAAAAAGTTTATTAATACAGAACCAATCCAAGAAACCAGTTCATACAGGCCATGTGTGACCGGCCTCAAGTAGTTGTCCCCTGGGTTCTGCGGTCACGCAACACTAACCCTCTTTCTGTTTCAGGTACCCGAAGAATTAATCAACTTCCAGCGTGTTGGCAGCCGGGAAGTAACAACCACCCACACACTTCCAAGAATACACGAGGCCTTCCTGTGCATCAGTCATTCAGTCCTTGAGTTATGCACAGTCCAAAAGAGTCCCAATGATGGTAAAAAACAGTTCTTTGAGATCAAATCTGAAGTACTCAGTAATGCTACAAGGCAAATATACACATCCAGAAGTTTCTCAAATACAAAACAAGTACTGAGAATCAAGCAAAATATTCCCAATAAGGTGGGATCAAAACTCTGTCAGCGAAAACCACTCACTAAACACTTCCCGCAGACAGTCTAGGATCAAAATTCCCATGTCATAACCTTAACATCATTCAAACAAATCACAATCGTAGAAAAACACATTATCAACACCATCACACAACCGCTAAGGGAAGCGTCTAAATTAGGAATTACACAAGAACAAAGACAAATAATAAGAATTAAGTCGACAGGCGGTATGCAAACGTTAGAGCAGTGATATACAGCTTAGGAGAAAAGCGGAAAATAATTACAATGTTAGATTGGTTGGAGGATTTCATCATGAGCTGATATCACTTACAGAACCATTGGAAACCCTGAGAGCACTGGACAGCTGTTTCTTCCTAGTTTGTGGCTCTTCAGCAGTACGCACCACCAGAGTTCGGACCCAGGACCTTCTGGTTACAAAGCGAACTCGTAGACCATTAAGCCACTAGGACCCGATCCAGTGGCCAGCCCATGAATTCTAACTTCTGCCAATTCATGACATAGCGCGACCACTTCTCAATGTCTTCTTCGATGAGTTACTGCCTCACCTTCAACCTGCTGCACCCTACTGGTCACGGCTTCCCACTAGAACCCCAGGTCAAGACCAGTCGCTAGTGGGCGTCAGATTAATTTTCAAGTATTGGTTTTGTAGGGATTTTGTTTGATTGGTTGGAGGATATCATCATGAGCTGACATCAGTTAAAGAACCATTAGAAAACCTAGAAGTACTGGACAGTTGTTTCGTCCTAGTTCGAACCTCGGCGGGTGCGTACTGATGAAGAGTCCAAAAATAGGACGAAACAGCTGTCCAGTACTCCCAGGTTTTCCAATGATTATCTAATCGATGTCAGCTCATGATGAAATCCTCCAACGAATCAAACAAAATGCCTACAAAAACCAATACTTGAAAATTACAATGTTAGTTGAAATATCCAAATAAGTGTCAACATTGTAATCAGATCGTTCAGGAGGAATTTTCCAAACAATTATTACTTTTATACCTCACTGTAAGTGGCAACACCCACTACTCTATCACTACTACTAGTTAACTGCTGTTATACACTCACACATCACTCATAAACTTCTACATTACAAAGTTAGTAGAAAAGTTTACACGCATGAAATCAACTGCAAAAGTGCACATAACCCAGTAACACTTTCAAGTAAAAATTGTATAGGATACATTAACCTACAAAATAACCTGAATTTACAAGCTTTCAATTACATTTAAAATGCTGAAAATATTCTATATTATTTATATTGCAAAGGTAGTTAAAACATAAGTGTTGTTACATGAAATCCATGTGACCTAAACAGAATAGCAAGAGATATGGATATTTTCTGTCTTTGCTTACCGTTAGACAGGTTAGCAAGAAACACAAGTTCTCTCATTTTTACAAAGTTAGATAAAATATTGTCTAAGTCTCATAATAATATTAAGCAAGTCGATGTTACTATAGTTACCACGAGGTATAATAATATCAGAAATAGAGAGAGGGAGAGAGAGAGTCAATAAATAAACAAAGCTTATAAGTATTTAGTAGACTGGTTATGTTTCACTTCTGTTCACCTGAGTTTATGTTGTAATATTGAATACTAAAACATTATTACACCGAACAGTACAAAGCGGTTAAATGATAGAGTTAGAGTTAGAGAAAAGAAAAAGGGAACAAAGAAAGTTATTGGTGCCCTAAATTCATACCGCCGTTGTTGTTATTTTAAGCTGTACAAAGACAAAAAAACTGAAATGTTAATCTAAAGTTTAACTTAATTTGAGCTATACTACCAAAAAGGACAAATTATTCTGTTTTTTCTTTTCTACATTATATAAAGTAGGAAATTTAGAAATCACAGCGACTAAGCCAAGTGTAATAATAAAACTTATGCGAGCAATGAGAAAAACGACAGGAATAGATAAAACGACATACTACTACTGATTGATTGAGGTGAGTAGTATGCAGTTTTATGCAACAAAAGATTTTACACTGACTATGTAAACCCAATATAAGCCTCAACTATAAACGATCAGGAACGCAGAAAACCAATCAACGAAACCAAGGCAATACAGCTCAGACGATTTACTGCATTCTTCTGCATGGTTAGTTTACCAAACCTTCGTAAGTCATGTACAGTGAAAAATTATAATTCCAACAATATCAAAACATTATTTAACGTGATAAAACCTGTAGTACTATTGAACAATGATAAATTATATCAAAAATATGGAAACATCTCAATAAGGTCGTCAGGTGACTATACAGTTCAGAGGTTTTTCCGGTAGAAAATACATATTACACAGCAAAAAGGGGGAACTGTAGATAATTACTAACTAGTGTGAACAGTGAAAATCCAGCTGAACAGATTCACTGTACTTGTATAACATCATCGAAGTGATCTAAACACTTGGTGACTGTATCGTCCATTTCTGGACACTTCTAACCAATCAAATCAGCCAGGACCATCTAGAGTATATGTTTGACATTGTTTGCGTATATAAGGACGTCAGAATATGTGTCCACTATAACCATCAAAATGATACCTGCAATTTTTATACAGCTGCACATTTTTTTCTCCTGAATTTTCTGTCACTGCATATTTATTAAACCGTCAATAGTCAGTTTTACTTAAATCATTCTAAAATTTTGTTTATATCGGTTGTTGTGAGTGGTTTCTATCTAATCATATCAATCAGTAATGTGGAGCTTAAATCAAAACTATACGAATTTTATTAATGTAAATTATTGGACAATGAAAAGTTCCATTTAAAAAAAAAAGAATTCTTAGGGGAAAAAGTCTTTCGAAATATTCTAAATGGAAAGTTGGATTATACATCAATGATCAGATAGAAACAGACTTTTATCGTCACAGTGACCTCAATAAGTACTATAATATTCTAAAATGACATACATATATAAATGATGTAACTTACACTTCTAATTCTTTTACTTTCGATTGAAAACTATTCCATTGAGATACTGTTATATCACGTTCATGTCGTAGATGAGTTAATTCCAGTTCTACTTGTTCTTTCTCTTTACGAATATGCTCTAAATCAGCTTGTTCACGAACAACATCTTTACGAACATTCTCATATTCTGTATTCTAGAAACAGTTAAAAATAAAATAAATTCACAATACTTAGTTGTATTTTTAATAGTAAAGGTATATGTGCAATAGATTTCAGGTTACGCAATTACAGTCCATTATATTGTGCATTCTATTCTAATGATGTGTATCTTCGTCCTGTTATGTCCTCTAAGCTGGATGGTTTAGTTAAGAAGCTGAAAGAAAACATCAGCACCAAAGACATGTGCCTGAGCCATAAATTTCAATTATTCCAAAATCGTAATGATGAATGACATTCATGCATATAAATTATTATTTCTTCAAATGGTAGATACAGATATTTAGTAAGGCGAAAACATTGTTTATAAACAAGTATACTATAAATTCAAGGCTGAAAAGTACAGCTTCAAAGCATATTGAAGTAGATATTACCTCCTTCAAAAAAAGCATCACACGAATATGGCTAGGACATGTGACCGATACTAACGGATAACCCCCCTTATTAAAACAGCTTATTAATTACGACATCGAGTGATACCTTTTCATTTCAGCGTAGATTTCGTCACGAACCAACATCAGTAAGAGATTACTGAAAACCAAAGACTACCGGACAGCTGTTTTGTCTTAGACTGGGAGTGTTTATCAAGGTGCACCCATGAGCCCATCGAACACAGGACCTTCAGCTTATGAGACCAATTTCGTTGACCACTCAACCACTTGGGGCGGAATGCAATGACGTGGTGGGTGTGCACTGTTGAAAAGTTGCAGTCTACGACGAAACAGCTGTTCAGTACTTCCTGGTTTTCAGTGATCTTTAACTGACGTTTCTTTTTCGTGACGAAATCTACATTGACTGACTGACTGGTTTCAACGTAGAACTTTGCACAGATATGCAGCAGTTCGAGTTGGCACACTCCCTCCTTGTAGCACACAAAGCAAGAGAAGAAAGTGAAAAGAGATTCAAAACAGAGATAATAAACAGAAATATGAGGCAAAAAGAATAGTAATATGGAAGAACAAGAGAATTTTATTGGATATTATAAATCACTAAGAGTGAATGCGTTTGCGCTACTGAGAACGATTTTGAGCCATATCACCAATTGTCTCCAGCCACTGGTTTTTACCACCCCGAGGACCCCAACCAGCTAGAAGTCTACACCTCCCTACGTGGCTGGCTCAAACTAACAGTTGTGGACTTGATTGACTGATGAAGCCATGTTTTGGTTTGACCACCACTGGCTCTTTTCCAACCTGATCGACTCTATGTCAGCTAACATTATCTATAGAGAAAGGCGATGGCTAGTCATGCATGCGTAACACATGTCCTAACCATCTCAGCCGATGTAGCTTCACAGCCTCGTCGATTGATTTCTCCTTCCTACCTAGCACTCGACGCCTAACCTCAATATTGCTCACCCTATTATACCACTTCACAGGGGAGATAGAATGCAGACACCTATGATCAAAGACAGCTAATGTTTTCGTATCTTCCACTTTCAATGGCCATGTCTCACAGCCATAAAGGAGGACGGAGAGGACTGCTGAGCAGTACACACGTCCTTTGGTCAACAGCCAGAAATCGCGTCTACGTCAGAGACGACATAATTTGGCGAATGACAAAGAAGCCTTCTGTGTCCGTGCTGAGATTTCGTCAAGGATCAATATGCTGAGGCTGATGTAACTCCCCAAATAAGTGAAGTGGTGAACACGCTCTTCCACTTCACTCCCTATGTTTAAGTTAGGAGTAAGTCGATGTATTCCAGTCCTGTAGCATCATCTTACACTTGACGGCAGCGAATCGCATGCCAAACATTCGCAGATTGCTGCTCAAGGTGTTCAGAAGACTCTGAATTTTGCCAGCGTCTTCACCTAGAAGGACTATATCATTTGCGTATTCTAAGTCAACGTTGTAACAGACAAGTTAATCCCTGAGTCGCTCAAGTCAGTTAAGGTTAAGTCCATTAGTACATCTGTGATGAAATTAAAGAGAAATAGGGACAGTGGGCATCTCTGACGAACACCACTGGTTGTCACCACTTCAGATGACAACTCTCCATAGGCTCTCACCTGGCTGTGTGACTACGAGTAATTTCAAATCTGCATTTAAATTAATCCAAATCCCTACAAAAACCGATAATCTAGATACCTTTTAAATGATAGGAAAACAAGATTCCTAACGAATAAAAACACATTTAAACATAACAAGTACATTCATTGCTTCCAGGTGGCAGGTAGTATACTGTATCAACTTACTGAATTATGATGTAATGTAATGTGTATAGCGAAAAAAAGAATGTACCTTTTTAATCTTTGCTACTTCTCGTTCACGTAATTCTTCATTTTCTTCATTTAATTGTGTTTGAAGTTTTTCTAATTGATTAATTAAATCACGTTGTTGTGAACTTAAGTTCAATAATCTTGATTCTTCTAAATGCGACATTTCTGTGAGATGTTCATATTCACGCTTTTGTCGAGTAACTAACGCAGTTAATTCGGAGACAGACTTTTGGAAGGGAACATTATAAAAAAATATAATAATATGTGTTAGTTCTAGAAATACAGACATAGAATAATAGTGACATTATACAGAATGAAAGATGTAATTAAATTCAGGGTTCAGATTTAGTGGTCAGCTATCTGAATCGTCATCCAAAATAACTCATGAAATTTTCTCCATATCTTAATGTTTAAATCCTCAGATTATGTCCTTAGGTAGGAAAATTTAATCACTCACATTTGTGACTAGCTTTCAACAAACTGCTGAGCATTTCTCGAAAGAGACGAAAGGAAAATATCCTAGATGACTGGCTATTTCTTCTGATCGAGCAGCACTGCGCCACACCATACACTGTCAATTACTATTTTACTGGAAAGTCCTGGACGAACGCTGAATATTATGCAACAAAATACGCTGGGAATTTCTCACAGTAAGTACACATTTTGTCCAGAATGAAGCTATCATTATTAATGCTATATTTCCCTTAACGATGCTTAAAATTCATTAAACAGAGAATAAAATCATCTTCCTCAAGAATGGATCTTTAAGAAAGGCCATTGACTCTTGATTTAAATTCCATATTATTTAGAAGGAGTAAAGTTTGAACTCACTGATCCAGACGCTTAATTTTCACTCTAAGAGTCCAGAGTTCGAAATCCTTTTCCCTTATCGAAGTTTAAGAATTTCGGCACCATTGTCAGCGTCCCATAAATGAACTGGTACGCCCGAGGGTGGGTACTTGTTTGATCGAAATGTCTCATATGGCTGTGCGTTCATAGACTCTGCCAGATGAGTTCTATTCGCTACCTTTATGCTACAAAGATATTACAAAAGTGAAAGCGCGAATGCGAACGTCTGGTGGACATGGAGCTGGAAAATCCTGACTCAAAACCTATGGACTCCAGAATCCAAACGGATCGAATGACGTATAAAGCTGTTCTAGTCATCTGAAACCACTAGGAAGCAGTTCCACTGCCCTGTGGATCAGACTTCAAGTCAAAGGCTTGAGGAGTAGTCCCTTACGATAACCACCTGCTTCGGTTAGGGTGACCGGGCAGTATCCCAACCTTCCCACAGAATATATGATTTTGCGTGGTGCATCTCCTGGCTCCCATAATGTACCAGGTTTGCATTTTGATAAACGGAAAAAACAAATCATTATCAGCTTAAATGTGATAAATGTAACCCGTTGTCACGTGAATGAGGACTGATATAATCGCTAAGTAAAATTATCACCAAAGAAAAAACAAAATATCACACACAAAATAATGAACAGAATGTTTAATTACCTTTTGTTCACGTTCTAATTCCATGCGTATATTGTCACGTTCTAAACGAAGTGCTTTAACTGACTGTAAAATACGTTCTTTTTCATCAAGAGAAGCATTTAATGACGCCTATCGGAAGAGAAATGAAATTTTAAGAAAATCAACTAGGAGAAATGGATATAATAGTCAAGAAATTTATGTAAATTTTACTCATTCTGTTTTTCAGAAGAACGCCTCCGACACTGATATTTCTAGTTTCTGGTCATTCAGGTTGATAAGTGTAGGTTTCTTTTTCAATGTCATTTATCGAAAAACAAAATTTAACTCTTACTTATAGAGGCAATTTCAGTTTTCTCATTAACGTATGTACATGATATGTATGTAAGTAGAGTTTCAGTTCATATAACAAATAATGACTTCAATACTAAGAATAATCTGAGAAACTTCACAAGAAAGAAAGTTATTTTTATTTCACAGCATTACTACATGCTTTATGGATTTACAGGTCTCAAGGTGTATGTATGGAATGATAAAAACAATTACTGAAAACAGGATTTCCTTGTGAGCTGACATCGGTTAGAGAACCTTTGGGAAATCAACCAGGGAGTACTGGACTGCTGTTTCGTCAGTCTCGTTTGGGACTCTTCATCAGTGCGCACTCACCGAGGTTCGAACTCAGTTACAAGGCGAGCTTATAGGCAATTAAGCCGCTGGGACCCGATCCAATGGCCAGCCCATGAATTCCAATTTCTGCCAATTCACGATACAGCGTGACTACTAGCCAATTATTGAAGAATCTCCTAGATTGTGCTTCATTTACCTGTGTTTCATTTAATTCACGTTGTTTATTTGCAGTTTGATTAGCCAACTCTCGTACATTAGAATTGCAATTTTCTAATTCACGTCGTTTTTCAGCCTTGATAACTTCTAATTCAGTCTTCTTTGTTTCGGTTTCTTGAGCAATCACTTCTAAACGAAGTTTATCTTCTTCAATCTGAATTGATTTTAATAGAATAAAAGTTATTAGTAAATAATATGAACATTTAACAGATGTTCACTGTACACTTTAGTAAGACTGTAGGTACGCCATACTGCAAAGGCAACTAGATTGTAAATCCATCTATATATCCATTGCTTCGGTGTTGTTTGCTAAACTTCAGTCTAAACGGACATCGGACTACCTATCTACTTTATGATAATGTGGTGGCTAGAGGCAAAGTTTAAAGTGTGTTTCATCCTGACAGTTAGTTAGTGAGATTTATGTGCTATGAGAGATTCCTTCATCTTCTTTTGCTTTCAGATGATCAAAAGACTATCTGAAAAAAAATAATTTCTACGAGTTTTAGGACTATTGTTATCCTCTAACAGCATACTTTGAAATCAGAGGCTGCACACAACATCCATCAAACGCATATTGTTTCGATTTACTCCTTTTGCATTTATTTTAAACAATCAAGGATGTCATCACCTGTGTATTTTTCAAAACATTTCAACCTGTTGTCTACCACATTCTCCGTCAATTAGAAAGAAAATATTATAGTCGGTGACAAGGAGAAATAAAGTGCTTAAACATGAGTCGAATGACTGCAGATCTCGTGGTTATTGTAAACGAAGTAGATTTGTTATAATATGAAAGTGCTGAAAACTTCACTGAATGAAATCGCGCGCGCGCCAAGCCCGCGAGACATGCAGAGGAGATTATATGAAGATGAAACGAGAGCTTGCGGGCAATTATGAAGCCAGCTTTAAAAGACAGCATAGGACAGACTGAAGATTGGAGATGTTCTCCTGGAGCCCTATGTTCCACTCAGAATCCAATGGATGAATAATGATAATAACAATAATAATATCACTGTTTAGAATAAAGTAACTATTACTATTATTAGTTATGCTTGTGTTTTACTTTATAAATGAAACTATCTGATAAATCTCAGTATTTGATGAGTAGTGATATAAAGTGAAGAGTGTTCATATCTCATAACTTTGGGTGAATACTTAACCCTACACAATTATGTCAAGATTGAAAGGGTGCATTTTTTTTCAAAATTAAAGCAAAAAGCAATTGAACAAGTTTAAAATCTACTGACTAAATTATTTTTGTTTAAATAAATGAATGAGATCCTTTAAAATGATCAGGTCAATCAGCAAGTTTCAGTTTACTGTGAACAATAACTGACCTGTTGGGTCAATCACTAAAGGTGTAAATAAATTTTATTTTTCTTCAAAATTGTACTAGGTGGATGAAATATATTTACAGCATAAGAGAGTTTGATTAAAATTTTGAAAAGATTTAGAGTTATAAAATAAGAAAAGATATTTCTTATTTCAGGATTTGAATAAAGCAAGAACAACAGTTTTTGCAAAATAAAATGGTACCATCATTGCTTATTTCGTTGGCTTCTCATCATCTGTTTACAGGCCAAAGTCATTATTAAGTATATCTACAGAAACAATTTTAACATACTTATACAGAGTTCGTTTTTAAACAAAAATCAATCAGTATATGCATACAATGCTAATGATAATAAAAATACTTTATCCCAAACAATAATGATCATACACAGTTGAAATTTTCGGCATTATGTAATCAGATGAAAGAGAGGATGAAAACATCCAGTTACCAGGGCAAGGAAATACTGATAACCGACTCTTTCTGAATGCATAAATCGGGTTTCAGGCGCTTGATAGAGATTGCTTCGGCAAACTTAAGGAGAATTGAACTCTTTTACCTATTGATAATTTTGAACGATCTTGCGATGTCCACCTCATGACCCGTGTCAAGGAGATGCCTGGCGATGGCACTGTTTAAATCATTTGTTCCCTTTAGACATAGGCATTTTGGTACATGTTCAGAAAATCGGAGATATGACCTTCTCTCTGTTCTTCCAATGTAACTGCTCCCGCAGATACATGTAAATTTGTATACACAGTTGGAGTTAACATGAGAAGCGTATCTGTCGACTTTTGATTGTACCAAAGAGTATGTTCTCCGATAAACGGGAACCAGCTTAGCTGCAGGATAGGCTCTGGCTAGTGACGTCCTCAATCTTCTGTTAACAACTGCTGTTATATTTTCACCTTTAAAATCAAGTATGTTAAAATCGTTTCTGTAGATATAGTTAATAATGTCTTTGGGCTGTAAGCAGCTGATGAGAAGCCAACGAAATAGATGATGCTACCATTTTATTCTGTAACAACTATTGTTCTTGCTTTATTCAAATTCATTAAGAAGAATAAATATATTTTAGTATTATTGATCTACTTCCTTCTGATGAGAAATTTCTTTCATATCATTCAAAATTTAAATTAACGAAGACAAATAAAAATGCCATTGATGAACACTTTAGTTTGTTAATCTTAAACAGATAAAACAAGTATTCGTCATATACCATATTAGTTTGTTTATTAGATGTATCACATAGTGAAACAGTATTATTTATTATTATTATTATCCAGTAAATAATACTGTTTCACTGTGTGATAAATCTAATAAACAAACTAATATGGAATTACTTACTACCACAGTGCCCAAGTTTTACACATATATTAATATTCGTCATATATTTATTGAATACCTCACTATTACTTATATCACTATAGCTTAAGAAAACTGAGATTTCATATTACAAAACGTTATACCTGTAAAAGTTTCAGCCTTATCAAGATGGGTAAATAACGGATGCAAAGTCATTTAGCCTTAATCATTAATCCACACAGTTTGTTAAACATTATAGAAAACTATAATTACTATCAAAGGAATCAATTGTGCATGTTTTGTATTAACTTGAACTCTTCAACTAGATGTATCTATATTCTAGAAAGTATTGGTGTTCCACTAAGTTTGGAACGTAATATCCATCTTTTTCGATTTCAAATAGTTACCAACTAAATGAAAAAGTAATAAAACCAATAAGTAACATTCAGATTATTTCTTGATATTTGTTACTAATTAAGTGGACTGAAAATTGAGGGAATACGAAAGCATAGAAAATATATATATTATCATAATTGTGTCTAATGCTTATATTATTGAATAAAAGATAATATATGTTACTGTTAACTAAACTAATGAAAATACAGGTAAGGGCTTCTTCAAAAAGAAAGAGTAAATACATGAATTCATATAGTACAGTGAACCAACAGCTAAGTAACATTTAAACTGTGCTGAAGGTTAACATAAATGAAACACAATACTGAAGGATAACTGATAAAAAGCTTGGTAGAAAAGTAGATTCTGAACCATAACATTTCTTTCCTATACTTGCAAGCAAAATAAAAGTATTAAAATGAGAAAGAGTAAAACGTAGACAAGTTATGCAGTAACTGAACCGAAGTTTTTCCAACCTTTTTGAGTGAGGACTTTTACATCAACATAAGAAAACAAAGCGTAGGTGACTTAGCTGTAGAATGTTCACCAACAATGCATGTGGCCCGGGGTTCGAACCTCGGCCGACGCACTCTAAAACCTCGCTAAGCGGGTAATAACACTGGCAGAGAGGGAAGGTTGAGCATGAGGCTAGCAATCCCCCCCCGTAAAAATAAACACCACTGCTACCGAAACTTCAAAGCACTAGCTTGAAGCCCTATGTTCCCCTAGGAACGTAAAGGAATAAAAAAAATTCGTAAATAATATCTATCAAACTTATTATTAAACGAGTCAACGCTTTAGTTATGAATTACTAGACCTTATCTAGCATTTAAATTAATATTTTCATCAAACACGTTACCTCAAGACACAATTCATTATTACAGCGTACGTTTAAAAGCCTTCATAGAAACCTAGAAGGAACTACTTCAAATAGTGATAGAAACAAAATGTAAATCTTGAAAGCACTAAGAAAAGTACTTGGATAGAAATAAAATAGATTTTTGGCATTCCTCTTTAGCTACAGACAACTTAAGATTTTTAACCACATAATAATATGATAAAGTATTTGACAAATATTAAAAGGAATCAATCTTTCATCACCCCAGCAACTTTTTAGCCGTTGTAATCTGCTTACCAACGCGACAATTAATATATTATCGTAAATAAATTCTAAGAGATTTTCCTAGTATATATATATATATATATATATTATTTGATGTTTCCAGCGTTCCTCCCTTTGGATGTAGATACAACCTCCCTCCGCTAACGAGTCCGTGGTAGGACGCGATGAGAGTGCTGCGACGACCCCCAAAATAGCATAACGTACTAATTTTTTACATGCCCTATGACAGTGATTTCATCCAAATGAACTAAAGGATATTAAATATTCTGCTTAAATGTGATGTAATCGACAATCTACGATGTACGCAGCTAAGTGGAATCAACGACATAAAGTGGATTCATATTCTGCTGTCCTAATCCTTCTTCTGGCTCTTTCCGATTTAATAAATAAGAATACTGCCTTTAAATACTCACAATTTTCCAAGATGAAATCACTTTAAATAGTTTAATCAGCAATCAACAAATGTTTAACACTTTTACTAGTGAACTCTGAATTTCGAAGTATCCTCAAGTAAGTCTGGTGTAATAAAACAAGCTATAAAAAATCAATAAGATATTCACACTGAGGGAATTTTTATGATTCACTTGAATACTATTTGTTTAAATGGATAAGTACTATGCACAGAGATTAGTAATGACGAAAAGTTCAGTGATATGTTAGTCTTCAACTCTAGCAAAAACTACAGAGCAAGTCTAGTTGACTGACCAGTAAATTTACATAGGACTTGAAGTTATGATCCCCTAATTATATAGTTATCACTGCATATGTATATAATATTAGATGTATGAGTGCAACCATAACACATACGGTTGTACTCATAAAATTCTATTTATACATCTGCTGACTGTCCATCATCAACTATTTTGTTTTACAAGTACTCTTAAACTATTTTATGGCCGATAGGCAGATTTAGTACAATTTTCTAATCAACGACATAGATTGTTATAATTGGTTGAAAAAAAGCCCAAAAGAAAACCCCCATAGGAGCCCGCATAAAATACTGTTGATTTCATTTTCGTCTGCTTATTAAGGAAACCTGTAATTACCACATTTTGTTGTGATATAATATAAGTTGACCTGTATAGTTAGAAATTAATATAGACAGTGGGAGATGATGCAAATAGATCACTAAATTTTTTATTTAATTATACATTCGTAATAAAGGTTACCAAAGGTGTGAAAATAAACATCAGGGTATGACAAGAATTAGGAATCAAAGATGAAGGATAAACACAGCTGATTAATGGTTACCTTGATAATTAACTTTTGGTTGTCATCTCTTTGTTTCTAAATTCTCATTAAAGAATTGTGAAATTCTGATAACTAACTCTTCTGGAATGTATAATTAGTTTCACATAAAAGTCTGAGTATTTAGAGCACTGATAAAAAAAACTCTAGAATACACCACTTATATAACGTATAAATTCCAAGTGAGGTCACGAACTGGCATCAGTCAGAGAAACACTGAAAATCATGGAGCACTGGATAGCTGCTTCGTCCTAGTTTATGACTTTTCGGCAGGACACACCCACGATCCTACCAGGAACAGAACCCATGTTACGAGGTGAGTAACATGAAGGTCTTGGATTCAATACCCGGTGGAGTGAAATCCCGGGAAAAAACACACTTGAAAAGTATAAATCGATAACAAGACATGCAATCTGTCTAATTCCAACAAACCCTATTATTATTACTGATTATTGTTAACATTAGCATCACACGGATGTGTTAAGTAAGGCTGATTGACTGTGAAACAGTCTTGTCTCTCCTTCCTTTCAGATTGTAGTGGATATTAGACAACCAATAAAAGAAAACAAAACTAGTTGAGTCAAATCTGCAACAGTTGGTTAAACATAATAATGACATATCACAGATACCTTCTTCGATATAAAAGTTTCTAGCATATGCAGTTTTTGGTTACAGGATTTCGTCATGAGCTGACATTGGTTAGAGGACCATTGGAAAACCTGGGAGTACTGGACAGCTGCTTCGTTCTAGTTTGGGACTCTTCATCAGTACGCACTCGCCGGGGTTCGAACCCAGGACCTTCTGGTTACAAGGCGGGCTCGTATACCATTAAGTCACTGGGACCCGATCCAATGGCCCGTAAAATTCTAACTTCTGCCAATTCACGATATAGCGCAACCGCTAGCCGATGTCTTCGGAGAGTATTTGTCCTCACAAACAATCTTCTGCACCCTACTGGTCACGACAGCAGGTCGGGTGTGAGGACAAATACTCTCCGAAGACATTGGCTAGCGGTTGCGCTATATCATGAATTGGCAGAAGTTAGAATTTTACGGGCCATTGGATCGGGTCCCAGTGGCTTAATGGTATACGAGCCCGCCTTGTAACCAGAAGGTCCTGGGTTCGAACCCCGGCGAGTGCGTACTGATGAAGAGTCTCAAACTAGGACGAAACAGCTATCCAGCACTCCCAGGTTTTCCAGTGGTTCTCTAACCAATGTCAGCTCATGATGAAATCCTGTAACCAATCAACCGAATCCTTACAAACCAATACTTGAATATGCAGTTTTTTCCATAGTAGTAACATCATCTATCAGAATAATGTTATATACAAAATAAATGTTTGAAAAAAATTTAAACGTAAAATACATAGTAAAGAAATAACAAAATACCGACTTACAAGTGACTGTTATTCATTCGATTTCAACTTAATGTAAGGAAAAGCATTACATAATACGTAGGGTGTCATAGACAAAACCGAGTGGTGTATAGGACAACATACATATAGATATAGATGAGTTATATATAAAAAACGGATGTGAAATGAAAAGTGTTTAGTTTATGAATATATATGGATAAGAGTATAGGCGATAATAGTATATAGATTTAGTGTGCCCATATATCCCGAGACAATGGTGCTCATGAGGTTAATACTTTATAACTGATGACTGTTTATAAATGAGATAAGGAGAAAAATGTGATTCAATGGAGCATTCACAACAAGGGATATTGATACTGGATATATATTGATATATATATAATATAAACTGTATGAAAACAAAACACCACAAAAATATTAGATATGGTAGGCAGTATTTGATCTGATGTCAAGATGTAACGTACCTGAGAATAAGGTGCCCCAGTAGATGACTAAATAAGAATTTAAGATTTCATAAAAATTCAAAAATGTTCATCAATATATGCATACATATACGGTGAAGAATTACTGTGTATCCATCTAACTCATATAGAATGTTTATCTGTCTATCTGCTTTCAACATTGAACTTTGCACTGATGTGCAGCAGTTCAAGTTGCCACACCATGTAGCACACAAAGCAAGAGAAGAAAGTAAAAAGAAATGCAAAATAAAGACAGTAAACAGGGATATGAGACAAACGGAATAGTAATAACGAAGAACAATATAGTTTCATTGGATAAGTTACAAGGAGTGGATGCATCTGCGCCACTGAGAACGATTTTGAGCCATATCATCGATTGTCTCCAGCCACTGGTTTTCACCGTTCAAAGGACGCCTACCAGGAAGTTTACTCCTCCCTCCGCGACTGGCTTAAACTAACTGTTGTGGATTTCATTGACTGGTGCCATGTTTTGGTTTAACCGCCCCTGGCTCTCTTCCAGCCTGACCCTATGTCAGCTAACATTGCCCATCGAGGAAGGCGATCGATGGCTAGGCATGCGCAACACATGTCCTAACCATCTCAGTCGATGTAGCTTCACAGCCTCGTCGATTGATTTCCCCTCCTTACCTAGCACTCGATGCATAACCTCAGTATTGCTTACCTTACCATATATACCACTTCACACGGGAGATAGAACGCAGGCACCTATGATCAAAGACAGCTAGCCTTTGCATGTCCTTCACTCTCAATGGCCATGTCTCAGCCATAAAGGAGGACGAAGCGGACTTCTGAGCAGTACATACGCCCTTTAGTCGATAGCCGGATATCACGCATATAGAATGAACTACTGACCAGTTTGTAAAATGATTAAAATATAGTGGCAATATAAATTTTGTATTAAAATACAATAATAGATATGCAATGGGAGAAATACTGCAGAAACACATAATAACAGTGAAAGAAAAGAGATGTAGTCTTTGCATTCACGAAAATGTTTTTATATCCAAGCATAAGTAAGGATAAATATTGGGGAAGTGAAATCAAGGTAATGGAGCAAAACAAAATAACTCGATTTATAGTCAAAGACACAAACGAAAGAGACAAGAAAGCAGCTAGGTTTAGAACTGCCTAGAGTCACCTATACTAAAGTCGCAGTGTTAACAAACACTGAGTTAATTTCAGTAAAAAGGACAATAATCAATCTTGGCTAAAAGAGGAGCCAAACTACTTGGAGTCTGTCTGGCTGACTAAGCCAATAGGTAAACAATGATAGATTTGGAGCCTATTTGCAAATCGCACAATCCAAGGTTTACTAAGCAGATTTTCAACTTCTTCCTGTTGTGATACCATTGAGATTATTATTGTTGACAACTATTCAGCAAAAAGCATGTCGGATGAAGCCGAATTCAAACGAATACGATTGCAAGCTTAGATGCATGATGTTACATACTACTCTGTTTGACTGATATAAGTAGTTGGACACCAGTCGTAGCAACTCGTAGTGCTTTCTAATCAGATCGAAGTGATGTGAACACCGGACGGCCGTTCCACTCATTTGGGAACTAACTCGCCAGTACGCTCACTTTCTTGTTTGTCATTTGTGGTATCAAGCAGATCTCACAGTATGTGATCCGCATACTTTCGGTTTCCGGAGGAACTGTGTAAATTGTAAATCACGAATTCGAATAAAACTGCCGTTCAATACTCAGAAGAATCTTCTCAAATAGGTAACCAATATTAATAGCCTGACAACAACATTTTTTCCAGACTCAAGTCAGTTATTATTGGACAGCTAAAGTCAGTCAGTGAAAAGCCCTGGACTAAGTTTGTGTATTTAACAACACTCATCACCAAAGAGTATTAGTAACCTCGATGAAATTCATCTCCCAAACCGCGTCAACCAATGTTGCAGTTTGAAATATTATCACTGAGCCACCACTAACCTCACTGACTATAATATACTAAGGTGACACGGGTTCGAGTCTCTGAGAGCACTTTTATTCCTTTAAGTAGGTAGGTACGTCTTGCTGACAAGCATCATCTAACACGAATCCTTAGTCTACGGGCTTCTGTCGATTGTTTCCAACTACCTGACATCAATTTAAAATGCACTAAAATGACAAATGCTTATAGCTTAGTGACCATGAAATTGAGAACTGGCCACATGATACTGGTTACACCCTAGTGACCAATCCACGTAGTTTTTAAGTTATTCCACTTCATTAAACTTTAATTAATCTATTCAATATCAATGAGTATTTTGTTTATCACGATTTTTTAACTAAGACTGTAATACAATCAAACCAGTTACCCTTATAAAAACATATGAGAAGAATGCACAGAGAATTATGGATTTTATGGGGAAAGAAAAGGGGAGGAAAAAGAAAAGAATAGATGTGGCAAAGAGTAAAAGAAGTCTGCAAAGTGACCATAGCAATAACACACACACACACACACTAGGATATCACTTAAACGACTCATGATTTTGTTAACTTATTGTTTGTTATTATTGTTGTTTCTATTAAAGACTCATTGTACTTTAGGAAAATTTCACTTTTCAATCAACTGAGATGTGTATGCATGTGTATTTGGATGTAGAAGAGGATGAACAGGCAGGCAAACGACTGAGTAAGTGAACAAAATAAGCGAATTAGTTTCTTAAACAAAACACAATGCTGACAATGACATAAGAATAATAAAAGGTATCACAAAAAGGAAGCTAAACTGAACAAAGAGATACACAGGGAAAGAACGGGGGAGAAGGGGAATATCGATAGAGAGAGGGAGAGGGAGAGGGGAACCAAAATCCAGATCATACCTAGCTATAATCCTAAGGAATTATTACAAATTCTCATTTACCCAGGAAAAAGAATATGCATAAAAATTTGTAAACAAAGCAGAAAATGGACAGTGCCACAAGAAAAACAATACAGGAAAATAGGGATCGTTTTGTTAGTGGTTATACTACGGAAATGAAACAAATAAACAAGCAATACCATACTCATTGTACCCTTTCTACGAAGTGATATATATAAAGAAAAATATTAAAATACCTGAACAGCATTAGAAACTTTACAAAAGTAAACTAATTTATCTAATATGAGAACTCTCCCTCTCTCAATAATTGGTTTAGTTTTGCAATGAAGCAATCTGCGAGTGACAATGGCGTATCCATAGAAGTCGCCTATAAAACACTGGGGTGTTATTCAACGAAAATGCATGGAACCAAAAATATATAACAATGTTTGAGATGATTGGAAGCGACTGATAGGAAGCCGTGTGAATTAGGGTCCCCATTGCTTATTGGCACTCGACAGCAGGGTATACCTGATCTCCCCTCTGACTTTCGAACCAACATCACCGAGTGCTGTAGTAAGAGACACTGCTCCCGGACATCACTTCATTCAAGATTGGAGATACATCTAGCCCACGAGTGACAGTAAGCGCGAAACTTAGATCGAGGGTACTCCTGTCAATTGCCTACAATAACCTAACTTCAATTCAAACAGTGACATAGATGGTGAGTATGCTAGACTGGTGTGACTATATTGCAAATTAGCTGATGGAATCTCATCAGCACTACTAAATACACGACAAATGACACTAAATACTCCCCTTAGTGTTTCAATTATTAGAATTCTGTAGACTAATCCACCTGTTGATAAGATAACAGAATACAAAGTTGCTTCATCAACAGCTAATTACTTAATATGTTGAATATAGTCTATGTAGTGAAGTTCAATGATTAGTCAGTCAGGGACATTATATCAGCACACAAAAAATAAGTAGTAATTATGTCCCTTCTAATAACCTTTAATACGGAGACAGATAGTACTATACGTGGATTAAATAGAACTAAGTTGTTAATTTATAAAAATAAATAGCATGCAGTACATTAAAATGTCAATTTGAATTTACCTGTCTAGCTAATCGAGTTAATTCAGCCTGACGGATAGCTGATAATTTTTCATCTTCTAATCTTAACTGATGATCACTGCGAATACGTTCAGCGCCGATTTGAATATCATGCTGAGTACGAGTCAATCTATGATAGGTAAAACAAAACATACATTTTTGGGATTAAAAAATAACCAAAGGAAATCGTTAGATGGAATTAATTTCAAATTATGACTTTGTAAAATGAAAGAAACCTCGCGAAATAATTTGAGAAACTACTCGAGTACTACGGCATACCCCAAATATTCATCAACCTTATTCAACAGCTGTACGACAACGGCACATGTCAAGTGATCCACAACGGAAAACTCAGCGAAGCGTTTGGAGTAAACACAGGAGTCAGACAAGGGTGCTTATTATCACCAATGATATTCCTAATTGTGGTGGACTGGATTATGCGTCAGACAGTGGGAAACGAGAAGACAGGGATATCCTGGACCAACGTGAACAACCTAGAACACCTGGATTTTGCGGATGATTTATGTTTGATGTCACACAAAATCGAAGACCTACAAGCAAAACCGACAAACTGGTCGAAGAAGCAGCAAAGACAGGACTCCAGGTGAACATAGACAAGACGGAGATCATGAAAATAACCAACCAACCAACCAACAACAACAACAACAGCAACATCCAGTGCCAATCACCACCAACGGGAGGGATTTGAAAGAGGTTACTTCATTCACTTATCTAGGGAGCACTGTCTCAACCACAGGAGGAACGGACGAGGATGTCAAATCGAGAATCGGGAAGGCGAGAAACACATTCATCAACCTGAAACCAATCTGGAAATCTTCGTCACTCAGCATCAACAACAAAATTCGGATTTTCAATACAAACGTCAAATCAGTCAGTTCTTCTATACGGATCAGAAACTTGGTGGGTCACAAAGAATATTTCCAACAGGTTGCAGACCCTTGTCAACAACTGTCTTCGTTCTATACTGAAGATCAGATGGCCGGAAAGAATCGCCAACAAGAAACTATGGGAACAAACAAAACAAGAACCAATCACCCAACAAATATGCAGGAGAAAGTGGAGATGGATTGGACACTCGCTGAGGAGGCCGTTGGGTGACATCGCGTGTCAGGCCAGTGCTCGAGTGGGACCCGAAAGGGAAGCGGTGAGTGGGACGTCCAAGGGTGACATGGAGGAGATCGTGTGAAGAGGAGTTGAAACAATAATAATAGTAATAAAAAAAATAAAAGAAGTAAATGGGTATTCAGACTGATTACGCAATAAACAATTGAAGATGAAGTAGGAAGAATAATACAATAATTTGAACAATAATAACGTGTAAATGGCTTAGGGACAAAGGGAAATTTTCAATTTTTGACATTCGTGTAATGACGGTCAAAGTAAGGAAAATGATTGTACAAATGTTTTCTGAACACACAGGTTGGACTTCTTCAGCTGTATCTAAAAGACGAACTCGTAAAGCAAAATTAAGATTAGTTGGAATGTAACAGATAACTTTAACACCAACTTCATACTCAGTATTCATAAGGTGTGATAAAACAGAGCTACGAATACACCTGTCTCTCCAAAGACAAAACTATTTTACGTTCGACAAATAGGGATAAACTGCCTGATTTCGCCTCTTCCGTGTGTATCTACCAATTTACCTGCTCTTGTAAAGCTATTTACATTGGGCGTACAGTTAGACATGTTAATCATCAGTATCCTACATGACTAAGCAGGGAACAAACAAGGTCTATTCGCAGCTCTATTTTAGCACATTTTGTAGATACTGAGCATAAAGCTGATGTTAAGAAGTCATTTAAAGTTATCCATCGTATTCCAACTAGTCCTACTTTTGCTTTACGAGTCCGTCTTCTACATATAGCTAAAGCCATCGGAATCCACATGAAGAAGCCGAAAACACTCGTACAGTTCCTTTACTTACCTTGATCATCAATGTCTGTATATAGAAGGCTAACAATTTCCCTCTCCTCCCTGAGCCATTGACAAGTTATTATTGTTCTGAAGATCTTATTATTCTTCCTACTTCATCTTCAATTGTTTTCTGCGTAGTCAATTTGAACAGTCATTTACTCCTCTTATTTTCCAATAATGGTGCGTCGGTGGCATAGCGGTTAGGACGCTCGCCGACCATGCAAATGGTCCGGGGTTTAATCCCCGGCCGACTCACTCCTTTACCTCGCTAAGCCAGAAATAATGCTGGTGAAGAAGAAAGGTTGGTCATGAGGCTAGCAACCCCATCCTGTAAAATAAACACTGCTACAGAAAATTCAAGCCACTAGCTTGAAGCCCTATGTTCCACTGGGGAACGTGAAGGAAAAAAAATTTCCAATAATCATGCAATATTATATAATCCACTTGCTTAACTTCCGCAAATATTTTTACCGTTTTTTCTGGCAAATTGTTACCCTCTTGGCATACTCCATATTGATGAATTATTGCTAGTAGATTTATCACCAGTAGATTAACAAATATCTCTAGATTGAATCACTTTGTCTTCAAAATGTTGAAGAATCATTTAAAACAACAGAGTACTGAACAGCTGTTTAGTTCCCGTTAAGGACTCACTTTGGGAATGCACAACTATAGTCTCACTAGAAGCAAGACTTTTAGCTACTTTACTAGCATGAAAGTGCCCATGAACTCTAACTATGCAACAACAGAAGACAAGACACGGAAGCCAAGGTATGTCTTCAAGTGATCAAACCGCTATTTATATATACGGTTTTATATTCTCTAACCAATCATTAAGCCTGTAATTTAGCTTACATTAAACGACATGAAACAATGTTTAAATAGATATATCGTATTCTGTTGCTAATGCTGTATTCAAATGTGGGAATATGTGAGAATAATATTCCGCTGGAACACATTGTCTGTATCACACCACCACAACTTCGGTCAATGTAGGAGACAATACAACTGAATCTATATTGAAATTAATGATAATCATTAATAAATTCGTACATCAACACACACACACACACACATAGACACACAAAGATAAATCTATGCACTATCCGGCTGCCCGGGTAGTGCAACAGTAAGATTATTTCATCAGGGCCTTAAAGACGTTAAAAAACTTTTTTTTAAATACATTTCTTCAGTAGCATACCTTGTCTCTAGTTCACTTAAATTAGGTAATAGTTGATTATACTCCAGTTTCTTTGTGTTGACAGCATCTTCTAGTTGTATCAGTTGCTTCTCAAGACTTGATTTATCAGATTCCAATTGTTCAACCTGAATGTAACACAAAATAAAAACAGATAAATGAAATACACTTTGTCATCGTTATTGACTTAAGATTTAAAATAATACTGCTGAAATGTTCGTAATATGTAAAAAGTGGAGGAAATTTTTGAAATACACTATAAAATGTGTAGATATCGATGGACACTCTGGTCATAATCATTCGAGTTTTACGAAATAATTCTCTATACAGACTTGATAACTAGTGTATAAATCAGGTAGACACTACAGATTTAAGCACTAACCTCCAGTATATGTCAATTATAAAAGATGAGAGAGTTATCGATGATCAATGTTACGCTTATGAATGATACTTCAGTTAGTTAATTCATACAACTATACACTAGAAAATAATGGTTACCTCACCAGCCTGAGTAGTTAATCAAAATAGAGTCACAATAACATACTGTAACGGTAGAAGACAAGAGGAGTGGTAAATGAATCTTTATGGGGAATTCGGTATCGCTATGTACCGAGATTATATACACCTTATCTTCAAATCACCATTTGCACAGATATTCTATGTTGTGCTACATCTGCCTTTCATATTGTTTCTTTGTCATCCTTTTCACGTCTCCCATGTTTCTCCGCAACGCTGAATCACTTGCTTTCTTTGGCGTCAAATCTTTCTCCATGCTATTTGATATGTTTATGCCGATGAACGTCTCTTTACATACTACTGATAAATCTTATCAGTAGTACACGCCACAATGTTACTTATAGAGATGTGTGCTGTTTAAATAGAGTGGTTCAGATATAAATTCACAATTTCTTCCGTTTTATCACAACGAAACATTAAACCATGAGGGGAAATAGCTACAAATTGTGTTCTCACATCTCTGAAAATGAAATTATGTAAATTACATATAGCACTGATATATCTTTCGACTTATATTAGAAATTAAAAAATTGTATGCTTACTTGAAGATTAGTTTTTGATAGTTTGATACGTAATTGTTCCAAGTTTTCATCAGCCAGCGATTTCTCTGAGCGTATCATATCCAACTGAGACTTTAAAGTATCATATTCACGTTTAGTTTCTTCATACTTTGAAACGGTTTCCTTTGCCTATTTAAATGTATAGAGGATAAACTGATAATATTTATGCACATGAAAAAAATAATAGACCAACAGCAAAACGAATAAACTTATTCAACAGTGCTCACTAGTGACTGATTATAGGATGAAATGGTCTGAAATTCTAACGGGAAGTCATGGTTAGCGAGGTTCACCAACATGGGCGTGAGGACAGATACTCGCCGACGATATTGGCTGGCGGTCGCAACATATATCGCGGACCATTGTATTCCGTCCCAGTCATTAAAAGGTCAACGAGCTCGTATTGTAACCTGAGAGTTTCAGGTTCGACCACTGGTGTTGTTGAAGAGTACTAAACTAAGACGACACCGCTTTCCAGTAACATCCTGGTTTTCAATATTCCGCGAACTGAAGTCAACTCATGACCAAAATCGAAAAGAGCACTTCAAACACTCGGTCGAATTACGTAAACAACCTATCTTCCCCGGCGCCACTATCATCTCGCTGCCATAAAGGCTTTCACATAACAAAATGCCACACACAAACATGTCTTCCAAATCATTATTACTCAAACAATGTACCGAAAACTGACCTGCGCTTTAAGCATTGAAAGCTGTTGGTCTGAATCTTGTATATTAGATTCTAGTGTGCTAAGTTCCGTACGACGTTGGTTAACTGTAGCTTCCAAGGTGGCTAGATCGGCAACCATACTGGTCAAATTTTCCTGTTTTGACTTTTGTGCAGCTCTACAAAACAAGAAAGTAAAAGGTATAAATTTCGTTCAGCAGACTGGGAATATCTTGCATGATTAGCATATAAAACTAGTTGGGAAGTGGTATTAGAAAAACTCAGTCGGGACATCTCAATTTCTATCCAAGTTTCTACCGATAGAAACTGTCTTCACAGGAAAGTCTTACTGAAATTGACTGTAAAAAGACCAGGAGATTATGAAAACCAACTCGTTCTTTTGTATGTTTTTCTGCATCTATTTCTTAAGCAATTATGGTTAATATTACAATTGAACTTTGTCCGTATGGTAAAGTATAATTCTCTGTTAGTTCATTTATTTCATATGGCACAAAGTGGTACAGTATTGTATGCTAGATGAAGTTTTCCTTACAATTTATTGCTTAGAATCAGGATTAACACAGAATCAAACAGTCGTCAAATATTCGCAGATATTACACACAATGATAGAAAGAATTCCAACATCGTTTTGGTGGAGGTGCCTCTATGATAGAAACCAAGATGCACATTCGTCCCTATTTGGGACTAATCAAGCGAATATACCTGCAATATTCGGTGTGATGGTGTCTCCACTGAGACTCGAAGCCAACACCCACCGTTTCAAATGCCAAAGCGTCATCCACTATACCACCTGAACCACGACAGCCACATCTTGTGTAACAGGTATTAGTTATTTGTTTTAAGGTTAATTTTGTGTTTCCCGCTGATTGGTTACGTTGAACCGACCTCTGATGACACGATATCTGAGGATTTGTGAAGACCATCACTCATCGAGGGTTGTAGGTACATCCAGATGATGAATCCTAAATAGAACGAAATGCACATCCTAGATTCCAATACTAGTGACAATTCACCAAGTACCATCATGTTAATCCTCAGACATCGTCAAAGCGTCAGTACTAGGGATCCACATATAAACAGAAATCGAACACTTCGGTCCAATATAATCAATCAACGGGAAACACGAAATTAACTTGAACAAAGAGTTCCAAAAAGATAGTGGGAAAAAAACAACATCATAAAGGACATGAATTACGTGAAAATAATTCTTGTTGACACTAGTTTCTGGAAATGAAAAGTGAAATTTAAAAAAACTGAGTATCACTGAGAACTGATGAAAGACGAAGTAGGAAATAACAATTTGCCATTAGAATTATTTATAAATCGACATATTCTAAGAACAGAAACATCCACAGTAAACAATGCACATTTCAAAGAGTTACATATCCCTCTTTATGGTAGTTTGAAAGGTTTTTACTTCTGATAAAATATAGTGATATTTTCCACAGTTTAACACAGCTAATCAATAATATGTTTGGAATTTTTTCTAGGACAATCTGAGTAAGTCTTAAATTGACAGTCCTCCAAATGATGTAATAAGTGACAATTGAAGGTGAATTGAAAGTTAGGTATAAGCAGGTTTCGGAATAAATTTCCCCAGGTTACTAGTGCGGTGCTTTACTAACTTGGCAGAGAGAATCAACAAGTGATCAAGCAATCACTTCACTGTGTTATATTCAGATGTCATATCAATGACTGAATGATAGGTAACCGTCTGTTTAACTTCGTCACATTCCCTGTCCAGTTAAGTCTTTTCCTGTCAATTCTAATCATACAGAATGAGGTGAAAAGGAGCGGATTGTTGATTTTTGGTGAGCGGGGTAAGAAATCTGTCAACTGATTCTTCAAATCCTGTGGTTAACTTCGGTTTGGTCATGGAATATTCGCCTACCACGCACATAGCCCCGGGTTCGATTCCCAGCCGACGCACTTCCAAACCTCACCTAGTTTGCTAGCCGATACTAAGTCTGAGGAATGGAGAAGGTTGGGTATGAGTCTGGCTACCTCACCCGGTAAAAACAACACCATAGCTACTGAAACTTCAAGACCTCAACAAGATTGGAGCCCTATGTTCCACTTGGAACGCAAAGGAATGGAATGAATATAAATAACATCTACTTAACCTTATTTAGCAAGGTTGATATTTGATTCCTTCAGTAAATAATAACTTATAGGTTAAACACTTCAGTTTGTCAATTAACAATACTGTAATATAAATATTAACATAAATAATTGACCTCACTTACTCTTTTTCAGATGATAAACGTGTAACTTCTTGTTTTGCAGCCTTTAAATCTTCTTGACAGGATAATAGTTCAGATTTTAATCGACCTAACACAGAATCTTGTTCCTAGAGAATTTCATTTTTTTAAAGAATACCAATGAGAATTTATAAGAAAACAATGGACACAATTCAAAAATACACAAAAATACAAAAAAATAATACTGAAATTTAATTCACTGGAAAAATTAAGACAACAAGATCACGATAGAATTCATTCATCAGTAACAACATAAGTAGTACCTTTCTGAATATACATCCAAGATATCAATTTGATTTGACATAGAGAAATTACTTTTAGAATAGGAACGCTTCGTACTCAGTAAAGTTAATCAATAAAGTGGAAATCACATGAACAGAAGGTTAACTTTCAGGTCAACAAAATAATCAATATCAATACACATGGACTAGAGGGTGAAAAAATGTCCAGAAACAACTAGTCATCGTCAAGGTTGAATAAGTTGTGTTCTCTGAGCTGGTTGATTTAATTGCGAAGCTTTCGTCGTCCTTCTAGACAACATCTTCAGCGCAGGTTTTAGTATAAAATGGACTTATTTAAATTCTCTATGACTGAAGATATAATTGTATCTCCTGGCAACCACTGTCGTGACTGGTTGTTGACTTACATCTCCATTGATCATTTTTATTCACTTGGAGTTCGAACTTTCTTGTCATGTGATTTACTTTTTATTAGCTGGTAAATTTGGTCTATAATAACCTGTCTGTTAATTGCTAATTCACTTGAGTACCAGGCTTCTAGGAATTCCCTAACTGCATTTTTGGTGTTTCCTCTATTTAGAATTTCTACATTATCCCAATCAAATTGGTGTCCATAGTTATCCACATGCATTGATACGAAAGAATATATACCATGTCTTTTAACAGTTAATTTGTATTCTTGGGTTCTGCTTCGAAGGGAGAGGACACCCACTTTGACCAATGCAGTGTTTATTGCAGTTCATACAATTTATTTTGTAAATGGCTGCTAGGAGAGATGGTTGATAAACTTGTGGAGAATTCTAAAATCTCAGTTCAAATCAAAGTATGTACTGATGTCCAGAAAGCTAAGGAAAGCTTCTCAACTAAATCATACAGCTCAGAGAATACAACTACACCAACACTGTAACACTTAGAAAAAAAACGCATCTTATTGAAATATGTAAGCAGATGTATGACATTAATCTTGAACATTCCACTAACTAGAAGAGAATAATTCACGCAGTAATTTAAATAAGTTTTTATTTTGGATGAGTAAATAAATTAATTAATTAAGCATAACCAAACAACTTATTTTAACTAAACAATAGATATTGAAACATGAAAGAAAAAGAAGAAATATTACTTAAAACAACCACTTGCATCTATATGCATTGGGCAATGAGCAACACCTGTCGTGTGAGGGTTAGTGATAATATCTGGCTGTTTAAACCTATATGTGTGGAGCGGGATATTAAAACTGTGATCCAGTGGTTAGAAGTTGAGAGCTTACTCTACTCAGCTGAAGTACCACAATGAAATCACTGGAATCGATAAGTGTTTAGTAAAGTTCTGCTACAATTTGCATATATACACATTTTCATATGAGAAAACTGAGCATTCAGAGTAACATCAAATTAAAGGCTATGCAGTGTTTATAATATTTAAATGCATCAATGATCGATATGGTGTAGAACTGAGTACCTATTAGCTTAACAGACAGTGAACGGATTTTCACGTCAACAAAACAGTCAGTCTAAGGCAAAGAGAAACGTTATGTCGTTTGCTTGTTGGATCTGTTTAATTTTCAAAAAGACAGTGTACATCTTTTAACACAGTCTTTCTACAAAAAAACAAAAACGGTTCAGCGATATTCACTGGCTCTTTGAATATTTGCGTTTTTTTCAAGCTAAGTTGAAAGACAACTTCACCTATAGCTGCATTGCACTTCATAATTGTAAATAATGATTTCACGCTTAGATAGCTGTATTTCTTAAAGTTTCTTTTTTATCTTATTCGTGTAACAAATAAAGACATAATAATATATGACATTACACTGATTTCAATAAAATAATGCTGGTTGTTAATTCTTACTGTTATAAATTTGACTGTCCTGAACTACGATCGATAATGAATACTAAGTGAACAGTCTCGTATATCACAGCATTGAAAGATTCCAATACAAATTATCAGAAATCTACAGTGCATCAGTAGAAGTTAGGGTAATTTTTTCAAAAATTTTATATTTTGTTCAACAATTGCTGGTATTTTCAACTAGGCGGCAATGAGCAACAGCTATTGGTTGACAATTATCAACAACTCTTGGCTGTCTAAGCTATGGTAAGTAGAAGGGGTTTCAAACCCATGACCCGATGGCAAGAAGTCGGGCACCTAAACCATTGAGTCACAGATCAATATATTACAGTTTTACCATTTGGAGTATCTGTGAATGAGAAACGTTGTTTATACACATACGTAAACTGAAAAACCTGGAAAAATTCAATAAGTAAACCACTTGAGCTAAAAAAAAGTGCCCTCTTAATCTTCACTAACAAATACAGTTGTCCACATGAAATGTAATCCGCATCCACTTCATGAATCCAAAAATATATGACAAAACTATCTGATAAAAAGTTATGAGAATCATCTTGTATTAAGAATTAAGGTTTTATAAGGATTTGAGTAAATTTCAATGTAGCCTTTGTCACAGACCACACCGACAATAGTTAATATTGAATCATTGAAAAATGAAAACTAAGGCCTAGTGAACAGCTTTTTTGTCCGGGTTTAGGACTCTCTCAAGCATTCTATATTATTGTTATTAGTGTTAATTATAGTAAAAACTAGCGTCGTGGTATGGCGGTTAGGACGCTCGCCGACCATGCACATGGTCCGGGGTTTGATCCCCGGACACCGACGCACTCCTTTACCTCGATAAGCCAGAAATAATGCTGGTGAAGAGGAAAGGTTGGGCATGAGGCTAGCAACCCCATCCTGTAAAATAAACACTGCTATAGAAACTTCAAGCCACTAGCTTGAGGCCCTATGTTCCACTGGGGAACGTGAAGGAAAAAATGGCAAAAACTAAAAATAACTAAATACTCAATAAAAAGAAAGAACAGAAATCAATAAACCTATAAATCCATCAACTAAAATTATTAATTAAAACCAGTGAGTGGTGTGAGGGCAAAAACAAAATACACGCCCAAATCTCCTCTTTTTATAAAAAACACTCTATACCATTAAAGAAACAAATTTAATTAAAAGGTTTAAGTGACACCAACAACAATAACAACAAAGCTATCAATATAAACAATACCAAAGTTTGCATGTTGAAACTATACACCATCAATAGTAAAATAATAATAATAAAACATTAAATAATGAACTAAATAGCTATTCAAACTCACCTCTAACTGAGTCTCTAATTTCTTACGTATCTTCATACCATGTCGTAGCTTATTCTAAGAGTTAACAAATAAATAAAAAAGAGGATGATAATGTTTGTGGTGGAAATACTAGATGCACGAACAGCAATACCAAATTACATGTACGTGCCAAAGCACATACGTTGGAAGAATAGAGAGAAGAGTTAGTGTCCGCATTTCTGAACAAATAACCAAGAACCTGAGACTAAGGTGCTCACAAGCGTTAAACAGTGCGACTGTAATGCACACCATCTATTGGGCACTTATTTATTTTATTTATTACTATTTTACACCTTTACGTTCCCAGTGTAACATAGGGCTTCAGGCTGGAGCTTTGAAGTTTCCGTAGCAGTGGTATTTGTTTTTACGGGATGGGGTTGCTAGCCTCATGCCCAACCTTCCCTCTTTACCAGTCTTATTACTAGCTTAGCAGGATAAAGGAATGCGTCGGCCGGGGATCGAACCCCGGACCACCTAAGTGGTTGGCGAGCATTCTATCGCTGTGCCACCGACACCCACTATTGGACACTGGTCATATATTATGGACAATCTGAAAGCATTCAAATAATCAACAGGCAAAAGAAACCTAGCCTGTTGTGTTTTACTGGGGCAATCTCTATCAAACGGTTAAAACTAAATCTATGTACTGAAAAAAAGACAGTGCTAAGCCTTGCGCCACCTTAGTGATTAAATTCACAAAAAACAAAGTTACACAACTTTGATTACTTCATGCATTCTCCAATGTCTCCACAATTCTGTTTAAAGAGTTTATTTTTCAAGTTAATGTCATTCAACTTACTCCTTTTTTCTACTTTGTAAAAATATACCTTCTGCTGTTACGTAACCTATTGCACTGATATACTCTTTCTGGTTAAACTTTGTTTCTACCAAAAAATGTATCTTTAATTTTGTCCTTTTTTTAAGAATATTCGTCTAAGTATTCTAGGAACAATTAATCCATTTTAACTCTGAATAATTTAACAACGTACATCATTTCGGAATTATGTTACTCATAGTTCCTAACAATTACTCCTTGTCATCGGGCAAAATGTACGTTCAAATCTTTTTATGTAATTTATATTTTTCTGTTGTTCAGGTTGTAGCCAGCTGAGAAAAAACTGAGAAATAATAGACAATGAGCTCATATTATATATGTCGTTCTTACTTTGTTAAAGAATAGCAATATGCCGTTGATAGCAGTGTAGATTAAACAAAAAAAGAAAGATTTCTACTTGATTTTAGGATGGAGTTTATTTAGAGATGCAAAACATGATCATGTTACACATCACCATGGAAACGTAAAAGCTTAACATTCACTAAAAAGTTAAATAAAAATAATAATCAGTTTAATCAAGTATGTTGACTATACTGTTAATTTGTACAAAGAAACATGTGGATTTACAATTTATGTATGTATAAAATTCCAGATATACTTTATTTCAAATCAAATTCTAAATGCGCGATCTAGACAGATCGAGGTGAAATTACACAACAGCTTCCTTTGGAAACCGGAATTATTCATATCACAATGTGATCTCCTTGATAACATAAACAGTAATCAAGAAAGCAAGCATAAATGCACCGCGTCATATACTACTGATTGATTTATACGAGTAGTTGCATGCTACTCATATCAATCAGTACTGCTTGCGAGCCAGATCGGAATAATCTGAACACTGGACAACCAATAGTAGTATATAGAGTCATGCATTTATGCTTGTTTTCTGGACTGTCATTTATGCTATCGTACAGATCATATATTGCGACCTAAATAATTTCGGTTTCCAAAGGAAACTGTGTAAACTATAGTTTCATGCACCCGGAATTCAAAGGTGACGTCGAAACCGAAATTCTTAGAAACCGCCTTTCTAAACGTCTGAAGAAGACATTTCCAGCAGCCACCTTACGCATCACATTCGCTAGCAGACAATTTATCCAGTCTAACATTAAGGAGAAGATACTACTTGTGGCCATCTCAATGTGTATTCATTAGTCCACTTGTTCGCATGGAGTATAGTATGTAGGCCGTATGCAACGTGAATTCCGCAAGCGTATTCTGGAACACTGTCCAGCTTCGCTAGCCAGAGGATAAAAGAAGAATACTAGCAGCTCCATCCTCGAACACCTTGTCAACTCTGGACATCGGGAACCTCTGCATGAATGCCTCACAGTGCTACACAGAGTCCCTTAATATAGTACGAAAGGACTTCGAATACGCCATCTATACACAGCTGAATCATTGGCTACTCGGGATCTCAATCCGTACCTCTGCATTCAAAAACACCACATACATTCCTTCGCCTTACCGTAGCCGGAGTAAGGTTCTCACTATAATTTTGCTATTATTATTCCCATCGTCCATATTTTATTATCACTCTATTACTGTTTATTAATAACACTGCATTTGCATACAGACTTTAGAAAAACTCTTTACCGTCTTTCCACTAGTTCCTGCCCACTGTACACTATTATACTGATTTGTCATTTTCTCAAACTCATAGGTCATGCTAACTTCTGTCCCCTTTTCTAATTTACAATTAGTCACCCCTTCTAGACTACACCTCACATTACGTAGTACGTTTTCGAAGACAAATTTTACCAGTATCTGATTGGTTTCATGAATTCTTTATTAAATATAATTACAATTGTACAGCTTATGAAAATGAATCGTCGAAAAGAAAATTTTCTTCGCTGTTTACATCTTTTTTTTATAAAACTACAAATCGCAAGGTAATTTGCGAGTTTGATTTAATGAATTATCAGTTCGTCCAGGAAGCTAGCCTGAATTTGAATTATTTGGATCGGTCCGACTCTCTAAAGTGAATCAAACGGGGTGCACCACTGATGAGATGAGCCTCAAACGAGCGACACGAACCTCTGGTGTGCTTAGATCACTTCGATCTATCTAGGAAGCACTAATGGTTGGTGCAATTGGTATCTAAATACTCATCTCAATTATTCAGTAGTATGTATTTTTTTCCTTCACGTTCCCCAGTGGAACATAGGGCTTCAAGCTAGTGGCTTGAAGTTTCTGTAGCAGTGTTTACTTTACAGGATGGGGTTGCTAGCCTCGTGCCCAACCTTTCCTCTTCACCAGCAATATTTCTGGCTTAGCGAGGTGAAGGAGTGTGTCGGCCGGGGATCGCACCCCGGACCATGTGCATGGTCGGCGAGCGTCCTAACCGCTATGCCACCGACGCACACAGTAGTATGTATAGCATATAGTAATAACGATTAAATAACTATTACGAAGTATAATTTCATATACGCCGTCCAAAACATATGCAAGATAATCGGACACGTTCGCACACACACATACACACTTATGTAATGCATATGACCATAGACAATAACAAAAACATTGATACACTTTGAAAAGTGATACTTTACCAATAAATCCAGTGGAATAAAAGGTAATGGTTGAATGAGACTAATAAACTAAAAAAAGTACGCAAAAACAATACAGTAGAAAGCATAGTAAATCAGTGACTAAAGGGAATGAATTCATTGCTAATACAAACATCATACATACTTATTTTCTTTTTCTTAGAAAAAATAGTTTTCTACTTATTGATTAACTGTTACTTCTTACGGAAAGAAAACAGTTTGACAGTCTGTCGTAAGAGGAAATAAATACTATGTGGTAGGTTTACAGAGTTTATTGAAATATGGACATTGTGAGTGATTGGGCCTAACTTCTCGCCTGACCAACTTATATTTTAGCATACGCCGCCCAATGAAGAGAAATGACAATGATCATAAGTTAAAGGAAACTATGACTTTAAAAAATCATTCTATCGTATATTTCGATATGTATTCTCTTCAGGCAAGAGTATTAAGTGGAACATAGAGTTCCAAGCTTTGACGCTTCGGTAGCGGTGTTGCTATTTTTATTTGATGGGCTTGCTAGTCTAATCTAACAGCCAACCTTCCCTCTTTTCCAGGTTTAATACTGAAGAGTGAAACAGGTGAGGTTAAGCAGTGCATCATTCGGGAGTCGAACTCGGAACTCCTACATGGCTAGTGTCCACTCTACTGCTGAACCATCATTCCATAGATATTTTTCCTATTATCTTATTCAGTCATAGGTTTTAATTCAAATAGGATTATTCAAGCAGTCTCCGAAAATATTTCGAAGTATTTAGGTGCTGTTGAACAACAGTTTCGTGAAAATGATAATGTGGTGTGTGCTACTAATAAGATTTATCAGTAGTACATAGAGGGAAGTTCAATGGCAGAAAAATATCATATAACGGAGAGACATATATGATAGCAAAGAGAGCAAATGATTCAGAGTTGCGGCAAAACCTAGGCGACACGAAAAGAAGACAAAGAAACACAATACGAAGGGTACAAGTAACACAACATGGAAGAGCTATGCAGATACGATGTACATAATTTCGCTATATAGAGATACCAAATTTCAAATAAGCATTCCTTTACCAAGTCTCTTGTCTTCTTCCGTTACAAGAATCACTCTTGCACATAAACCTTTACCTAAATAAGATAACAACTGATGAAGACCTTGATACATGTATATATGCCAAGTGTCATATAAAGTCAGCATATCAATGTCACATGGATAGACACTATCTATTATCAATATACAGCAGTTCACGTTGTCACTCCTCAAATCTGTACATGAAATAGAATGAAATTAAAGCTTACGTGTGTCTGTGCCACTAAGATCGAACTTAGGTCTCATCTCAAAGGGTTTTTCTATCGCATATTTCAGTTGTTACATTCACCCCAGTCATCTTACTTACACTTCTTTCTACACACGACTAAGACCAAATACAGTGGAAATCATTCCCTCCCCAATCTTAATACAACACAGACATCAATCAACACAAGTATTTTCCAAACTGTCATTATTTTACCAACAAAAACCGCAAGGAAGGAAGCAGTTATTAGTCTTTCCTTGTCCTGGTAACTGGATGTCTGTATTCTCTCATCTGATTACGCAATCTGTGTGTTTAACCTCACCTTCTTTTATAATCTGTAATTTTGCTTGTCTCTTGTTTTTATGATTTGAG